TTGTGCGTTTGCATGTTTAGTGCTCCAGAAAGTTATTTTTCTGGCAGACTGACAGTGACTTTAATGAATAAATGTTTAATTTCATTCATGGGTAGAGAATGAATAAATGTGACTTGAGGTTACTTTGCGAGAACACACACGCGTTCTTTTCTATCTGACCTGCGTCAGAGTGTATCGGCATGTTGGATTGTCTGTGACACCTAGCTAATTTGAAAAAGAGAACTTAATAAGCAGCCCCAAACTTGAAACTTATGCATTTCAAAGAATTATGGCTTACATTGCCTTTTGGCGTTAACACAAGCTACTTTCTCTCCTCCTTCGACGCACACACACACACATACTGACAGATACAGTTTTTCTCTCTCTTATAGAGTGGATCTTGCTGTATGAGCACATTTTTAGTCTTGGGGTGGATAGCATTTTTCCAGCTCAGTGCCCAATGCTGTGAATGCGGTGTCTCAGCACCGGAGCATGATTGGAGCCACTCTCGTCCAAGGTCAAACTGATTATTCCCACTGGGAAGCAGCTGTCCCATCGGTGACCAACCATGTGCCTGTACAACATTAAGAGCAGAGAGAACAATGAGAGAATGAAGGAGGCTTGGATGCTGGGGGGCTCTTAAATAACATCTTTATTAGAGCTGTTTGCTCATTTTGTGTATATGAGCAAAGGACATGAATTAAGTCATCATTTACTCACCCGGGTGTTGTTGCTGTATGCCCTTCTCTTTTTATGGACAACAAAAAGAGAATTTGTAAAAAAAAAAATAAAAATAATAATGGCATCTATATAAATGGCAGTGAAGAGCGACCTTTTGAGGTTCATAAAAAAAGAAGGGCATATGGCATTAGAACAAACCCAGGGTGAGTAAATTATGACTTAATTTTCATTTTAGGTTTAACTATCCCTTTCATGGTGCGTTCAAGTGCTCATATTTATGAGTTGGGAAGTCATAATTACAATGTCAGATGCGTTCAAATGACTTTGGTTGGAGCAAGATGGCGATGTACCTTTTCTACATAGAATTCCACTAGATTTTATAACTGTACGTATACAAAAAGAATGTGCATCAGAGGTGTTTTTGCTTTATGTTTTTATGAAGGTGCTGCAAATTGAATCGTAATTGTACAATCCTATGGTATTTTGTATACAATCAACTTTTATAGTTTTGGTAAGACTTCACAATAAGATTTCATTAACTCTGGTTAATATATTAACTAAAATTAACTGTTCTTTTTCAGTTTGTTTTAGCTTCAGGTCCATTAAATAAATCAACAGACACAACTTGTATTTGTAATTATAAGTTTATATTAAAGAGGTCATGAATTGAGAAATCAAATTTTGACATATAAGAGGTCATTGTCCTATATGAAAACTCAAAACCACCTCGTTAGTCCAAAAACAGGTTTTATTGAAACCAAAAACAAAACAACTCGTTTCGGATTTTGTCTAAATATGACGTAATAGCGCCACGAAAGACCGTATCTGCAGAAGATCAACGCCTATTTCTACATCATTGCCTCTTTAGCCCCGCCCTCCGATTCCTGCATGTCATGTAGTAAATATGAGAGAGACACAAACACTGATTACTCAAGCAATACACTTTTAGAGATGCCTCTGTCATGCTGGTACGTTGGATCTTGCATATTTCAGGATAAAACATTGATTTACTTAAGTCCGATTTGAAATAATAAATGTGACAGAACCTTAAAGTCGGCATGAACGGGTAGTTGGGACCATCTTTTCTTCCCTATTGTGATGTATATCCGAATAAAACTGCCTCTCGAACAAGAAAAAATGTAGGGAGGGACTTAATTTTGTTAATTGGAAATTGATTGCCATTGCTGTGATGTCATGTGAGTGACAGGTTTTCCCGCCCTCACGCCAGTAAACATCATCAGAGAAGAGAAGACATGTCTCTGCAAGAGGGAGGAGAAGATATTTGGGTAACGCTTTAGATTACAGCCCGGAAAGTACTGGGTAATTAAAGCAATTTTACAGCGTAACCTTCGGTAATTATAGTGTACCTGTAACGTACTTACAATATAAGTATAAGGGAACAATATTTTAAGTTTGGGGAATAAAGGGGTAACAACCAGGAGAATTAAAAATTATTAATATTGTGAGTATTATAGAACTAAGGGGTACTTATTCTACTATTATGATATAACAATCTTACATTTGTGATCAATTTAGCAAGAACATACACTGCGTACCTTTTTGAAATAATGGTGAACCAGTACATACTGTATAGGCTTTATAAATAGATATAATAGATATGTACCCTGTAATTTTTAAAATGTAATCTTTTTAACAAAAGTGCACTGAAAACGAAAACTATTGCAACTTTTGCTTAAATATTGTGGAAAGATACTCTTGTTTCATGTAGCTTGTTACCCCCTTGTTCGATGTAGTTACAGAATAAGTGTGACGTTGTGGGCTGTAAATTAAAGTGGTGCTTGTTACCCTCTTGTTCCATGTAGTTACAGGGTAAGTACAATAAAAATGCATACACAATCTTATATCACTGACTCAGAAACCTTTATTTATTATACAAGCACCACTTACCCTGTAACCACATGAAACAAGATATATTTCCCAGTATTTAAAAAAACTGGAATAGTCTTAGCTTTTCTTGCCTTGAAACATGTTAGCCCAAACTTAAACATCTGCACTTTTGCTATCAAAAAAAAAAAAAAGTATAAATGCATAGATATGTACCCTGTCATTTTTAAAAAGCCTATACAGTATGTATTGCCTACACAATTATTACAAAAAGGTATGCAGTGTATGTTCTCGCTAAATTGCTCACAAATGTAAGATTGTTGTATCATAATAAGTACCCCTTAGTTCTATATTACTTACAGTATAACTATTTTTTTAATTCTCCTGGTTGTTACCCCTTTATTCCCCAAACTTTACATATTGTTCCCTTATACTTACATGCAAGTTTTATAGATATACTATAATTACCTATAATTAAAAAAGTTACTCTGTAAATTCCTCTTAATTACACAGTACTTTCCGGCCTGTAATCTAAAGCGTTACAGATATTTGATTAAAGACTGAGTGCACATGAATAAAAGAAAATAATGATGTGCACGGATAAATTATTTATAATAAATACTGAAATATTCCATAAACAATAAGAATTGTCCATTTTAAATTTCATGGTGACTTTTAATCGTCCCTAAACACATTAGAAACTGCATATTGGCACAACCCAAAACACCCTTGCATTATCTTAGAATTTGACTGAAATAAGTATCTTATATACTTTCTGATCTTCCTGAAGGCCCATGATGCAGCTCACTATGAATTTTGTAGCAGTGCATATATATATATACTGTATGCATATATAATGTAGAGTAGCCTACAGAAACATGTTCCTATCATAAATCCAGTATGTTCATCTTTAGCTGGAACAGTTTCCCTCAGGCATGCACACGGTGATAGGGGAAAAGTATGATAATGTGACATACACCTGGGCCTCATTATATACATATATATGAACATACTGTATTTATGATAGGAACATGTTTCTGAACTCTACATTTGGTACTACATTTTGACTTTTGTCATCTTGACCTCAAGATACACACACTTTATCCTGAGATAAATTTAATTTTGACTGCAGTGTTTGTGGTTTTAGAAAGATTCATGTAAATTAGGGTTGAAAACTGAATCATTTGTTTCACCTTTATTATAGCATCAATAATGGAGCCTCATAACACAGAGATTATCATCTAGCATTAGGAAATGCGTGGGCAAACAAGACGATATTTCGACAATTAGGAGGCTTGCGGTGTAAATCCGACTTTGAGTTTTTCATTTCTCTCGTGGAATCATTTGTAGCGTGGGAGAATTTGAGAGAGGAAGATTATTGTGTCAAATTGTCTAATAAAAACATGCTCAGAGCAAATGTCTTAACATCGATAATTAAAACAACAAAAGCCATCTATTACCTTTATAAAAATGTGTGGTGCATGAATTCAGTTCAGTATAAAATATTGATATACTTTCCATTTCTTTGTAGGCCTATAGCCTACCATACGGATCGGAATGATTCTAACGAGCCTATGCTACAATTTCAAGAGTAAGAATTGCATGCTATGTTTTCAGTTTTCCAATGACTTAGGATAAAAACCTTACAGTTTAGAACAAAGACTTGCCTTCCCTTTGTTGAATCAAACTGAATTAAATCATCATAGATCAAAGACAGTGCAATTCAACTGAATCAAAAGACGATTCATTCTCATTTTCAAGGCCACAATGTCTATAGTTGAATGTTTGAATTTGTTGACCATTAGCACATTATATTATATAATTACTTCATTGTTATATATTACATAAATATTTTATAAACTTACATCACACTTACATGTTATGTGGAGACACTTTCACTCCACATATTAGACTGAGCTGCCATCTGCTGGACTGATGTCACGGACAAATAAGAATAAGGATCAAGTTTTCAACTTTTAAAACCCTAGTTTTTTGCTTAATCATAATATTCAATATAATGTCTTTTCCCTCTCAATTTGAATTCAAATTTGAATTGCAGCTGAATTTTTAATTGTTTTTGTTTTAATTATTTTGCCTCCCCATTAGGCTCACAAGCCCTATTGTTTCCAGGCCAGTAGATGGCAGTGAAGATTACGAGAACGTTACAAGAATATCATGAAGAAAATGTTACTTTGAACCGAATCTTTTCGAAGTTTCATTCTAACCGATTCGCAGAGTGAGGAGCACAACTGAGAAGTAGTTAGGTGACAAATTGGAAAACGCAAATATAAGATGTGAAAAAACAGTAAGTTATAAAAGATCGCGTGGAAAATGCGGGGGACACAGGGAGGTTTTTGAGTGATGACTCAAATGAATCAGTGAATCGTTTTCAGAGCCCGTTCACTGTACCGATCTGTCTAGGAGCCGATTTGCTAAACGATTCGGATTCCATTGGTACTTTAGCAGGACACGCAGCCAGCAACACTAACTTCATAATGAAACACCCGTGACAATAATAATGGTATTCGCTGATATAATGTAGTGGGTCAAACATTAAAACCGAAAATATCATACATATTCCGACTGCATAAGAAGTAAGTTCATTTAAATGTGCATTTTCTCTTGCTTAATGTTTCGTGTGAGCTCCGTCTTATTCATAATGTGCAACAATGTCACATATTTGATGTTGTTCAGTGTCATTTTAACGAAGTGGATTCATTTAAAATGTCGCATGGAAAACAAACACCGAAAACGTTACCTTTATTTATCTCTTTCCTAAGAGATGCATAAATATCATTTCATCGTTGCTTTTCTGGTTTCTAACATGTAAGTTACAAGGCTTGTCATTTTTTTATCTGAAGATATATGCAGTAATTTAAAAGAATATATTTATCCATATAACCATGGTACTGAGAGTCTGTGGTACAAACGTTATATGTTTTGAAAGTGTATTCATATCATAATGTCACAATTGTATTTACATGGTAGGCTACTCCAAGTTGCTTTAGAGAACATGCCAAAACAAACAAACAAGGAAATCCATGGTACTTAGAAAAATGTTACATGTTCGAAAAAAAGAAAGAAAACAAAACGTAGTATCATGGTATGTTTTGTTAGTATTATTGCAGCTACATCATCTTACCCATGTCACCCATGATGTGTATAATATTTGAAGGCATGTGTTTTTATGCTCTTTGTAGATAGTGTTTTTTTGGACTCTGACCTGACCTCTCCAGGACCTCATAACAGAAATATTGTATCTTCTAAGAGCGCAGAAATGGCTAGTCAATCTAATGCTGAGCTGCTCACTTCAGTTAAAACATAATTGTAAATCAACAGAACCAAAAGTTGTAAACTCGTCAACTTAGTAGTTCTCGAAAACAGTGCATTTACAATTAGACAGATGGCAATTAACCTGGCAATTTTAACTAAGCTGTTCTTGATTAAAACATGTTTTATGATTTCAAAATGTAACTTTTTTTTTTGCATGCTTGCTTTTTCATTTGGTGAAATGTGCAAAGAACATGAATCTTTCAGAAGAAGAGGTAGAGTATGAAATATGGTCTCATTTCCTCTCCAATAGCCACTCCACTTCCCTTCGTAGTTCTTCCAAATATTTTGCAGTTTTATTCACTTCAGAAAGTGTTCACCTCTGTGTGACATCTGTCACGTGACTTTTAGTGGGATTTAATGTTGTTGGCAGATATAGTGTCCTGATAGCTGTGCCCAACAGAGGCTGAAACTGTTGAAGAACTTGCTGATGCCTGGATTTTTAAACTGATTGTTATTCTAATTTAATACAGAACATATCAAGATACTTCCATCAATAAACTAAACAATTAAGTGAATGCTAAACGTAATAGTATACTTTAAATATGTGATTGTCTGTCTTCCTGTCGCTTCAGTGCATGTAACTGTGCTGCCACCATCCTACGTTTTGCAGCAAATTAATGTACAAATTGCTAGTTGTACAAAATTATAGAACCATTTTAAGCAATTATATTGGTCAGCCTCAGTGGAGTGGAAGATCGTCAAAGAATAAAGACTTAAAGTTGGTCAGTTTGCAACAAATCACATGGATTCAGAAGAATTGGAATTTAGCGAATGATTCATGATCTGGTCCACTGTTATGTTAGTTTTATGATGCTTTTTTTTAAAGTTTGAAAGCTGCAGTCCTCATTCATTGTAATCGAAAATGCAAAAAAAATGAGAAGTATGCCAGGCAGAATATCACCTTTTGTGTTCCAAAGTTGAACGTTTTTTATTCATTTTCGCAGGACAATCTTAAGCAATACAATAACCAAAAATAAAATAGATTTGCTGGATAATTCAAGCCATAGTGCTATTCTTTAAGAGAAATGAATTAGTCTGGTTGCACGAACAGTGTGGTATGCAATGGCGTTTTTGGTGACACTTTACAAAGCCTCTAAAAGGACATGTGGTGGAAAAAATTGAGATGGAAAGAAAAAAGTATATTTCGAAACTTTTGTGTTTGCTTGCAAAACGTTTGCATTCCCCATGAAACTTTGAATTCGCTCGCAAAGACCTCAACATCTTTGTGAGCATATGCAAAGTTTCTTGGGGGAATGCAAACGTTTAACGCAAAAGCATTGACATAATTTTTCCTCCCATCTTATTTTTTCTCCATCACTATGTCCCTTTAGGGGCTCTACGTTTAATATGTTAGGTAATGCATTAACTAACAATGAGCAATTCATTTGTTACAGTATTTATACATCTTTGTTACCATTAGTTAAAAAAATACAACTGTTCATTGTTAGTTCGTGTTATTTCATGTCCATTTAAAATATAACAGACACAACTTTTGATTTTAGTAAGATAACTATGCAGTTAAAGGGATAGTTCACCCAAAAATGAAAATCATTTACTTGCCCTCAAATTCTTCCAAACCTGTATGAATTTCTTTTTTTCTGCTGAACACAAAAGAAGATATTTTGAAGAATGTCGGTAACCAAACAGTTGAAGGGCCCCATTGACTTCCATAGTATGGAAAAGAAAAATATTACGGAAGTCAATGGGGCCCAACAACTGTTTGGTTACCGACATTCTTGAAAATATCTAAGAAATTCATACAGGTTTGGAAGAACTTGAGGGTGAGTAGATCTAAATGATGACAGAATTAAAAAAATTTGGGTGAACCATCCCTTCAACAAATGGAACCATATTGTAAAGTGTTAAATAATGTTGTTACCTTGGCAAACCCCGTTAATTATCTTCTGTTTTCTTTTTACCTTATTTATACTCAGACGTTTGAAATGGTGTCATACAAGAGACTCACCCCTGAGGAGGTTCATTTCTCTGGAGCCGCGTTATTGGATCCTGATGAGTCAACGGACACGGATGGGAAGGAAGTCGACCCAGAACTCCCCCTGCTGCCCCAGAGCCCTCGCTGCTCCATCACCGCTGCCCTGCTGACCATCGCAGGACTTATTGTGGTTCTCTCTGGTGTCTGGATGCTTGGAACTATATTTTGGTTTCATAATCCACCCTCTACAGATCCCCATAGACTCCCTCCACCCGCCGTGGCTAAAAGTCCAAACGGGACGTGGCTGCAGCCACAGTCCTGCTGGAAGATTCCCGAAGCGGGGAGGTTTGACTGCTATCCTGAGAGAGGTGTGGTGGTCACGGAGGAGATGTGCCACGTTCGAAACTGCTGCTTCATACAGCAGTCGCAGGCTAAGACATCGCGACGGAATGGAGTGCCGTGGTGTTTCTACACACCCGACTATCCGTCCTATGAGTTGGTGTCCGTTATTGACACCGAGATGGGGAAGGTGGGAAAACTGCTCCGGAACAAAAAGACATATTATCCAAAAGACATAGATGCACTGCAGCTGGAAGTGCTGTATGAGGAAGACAACCGACTGCGTGTGAAGGTGAGAGTATTTTTGGTCTTCATGTTACTGGCTCTTTATTCTTGTGATCTCTCAGAATAATTTAGTGATTAATGTTGATGTTGAAAGTCCTAAATACTTTTTTATTTTTTATTTTTTTATTTTATAAATTGAATTTCAGTGGTGAAATTATCTGCATTCATCTCACTCTCAGACCACCAAAATGCAAATAAAGATCTGACTACAAAAAGGGATCCTCAATATATTGGTACCAGGGCCCGTATCCCTAAAGAATTTTTGTGCAAAAAGTGGCTCCTAGCGGCCAAATTCTAAGAAAATTCTCAGAGTCATGACGTTTTCTTAGAATTTCCCCTAAAAGTGACACGAAAATCCCAGTTAATATAAAAGCTATTCCTCAAGATTCCTAGCGCTTAAAAGGGCTCCTAAGGCGAGATCTGCTAAGAGCAGGGAAGAGGACTTTTAGTGGCTTAGGAGTTCAAGGAGTTGTAGGATATTTGTTAACAAGCCTTCATAAATAGACCAGCCAGCAATCACAGACATTGATAAAAGCTGAGCCGTGTTACCCTTGTTAAGACCACACTGAGTTGTAACGTTGCAATTTCTACTTCATTAAGGACAGCCCCTTGAGATAGGCCATCTTGTTTTCAATGGGGTCCATATGGGAGTGAAAGTACAAAATATGCCAGCTAGGATATTAATATGAGCAAATAAGACACGAATCATTATTTGAACAGGGTGTAATGAGCTTAAGTTTTCAGTAGGGCTGTCAAATGATTAATCACGATTAATCGCATACAAAATAAAAGTTTTTTTTTACATAATACATGTGGGTGCACTGTGTATAATTATATATAAAATATTTATATTTATATATAATATAAATTATATATAAATCTATTCTATATACAGTATATACATGAAAATATTTCTTAAATATATACAAGCATGTGTGTGTATTTATTTTTATATATATATATATATATATATATATATAAAATAATTATACACAGTGCACCCACATATATTATGTAAAAAAAACTTTTATTTTGGATGTGATTAATCACGATTAATCATTTGACAGCCCTAGTTTTCAGATATTTTAGATTCTAATGTTAGGCTATAACCCCTACAGCTTACTATTCATTTTACAGATATTTTCTTGAATGTGAAATATCATTTAAAATTACAGTCTGCATAAGATTAGAGTGTATAATATGTTTATTGATTTGAGGGTATATCCTTTGCTCATTATCACCAAAAGTTCATTTTCATCAAACTTGTAGGATCAACCAATCACGGCTTTTGAAATGAAGACTCATACCTAGCAACGGGGTCAACCACACCTCCTCACTAAGATAGGATTTTCCATCCATTCCTTGCTCAGAGTTCACTGAAAATGTTCTGGAATCACTTCTAAGCTAAAACTCCTGGCAAGGAATTTTTAGGTTAAGTTAGGAGCTCTCTGAAAGGATTCTCAGAATCTTTAGGGATACGGGCCCAGATCTGTTGACATTAAAAATAAACAGTTTTAAATTATTAAATAAAATGATTACATATTCAATCATTTAAAAATGTAACATTTAAAGTAAAAATTTTTAATGCTTTTGAAAGAAGTATCTTATGCTCACCAAGGCAGCATTTCTTTGACCAAAATACTGTAAAAACAGTAATATTGTGAATATTTAATATTCACTAACAGTTATTTTAAATTCCTCCAGTCTTCAGTGTTACATGATCCTTCAGAAATCATTCTAATATGCTGATTTTGATTTGCTGCTCAAGAAACAATGCTTATAATAATTATCATCACAGTTGAAAACAGTTGTGCAGCTTAATATCTTAGTGGAAAAGGTGATTTAAAAATAAATAAAAAAATTTTAGAATTCTTTGATTAATTGAAAGTTCAAAAGAACAGCATTTATTTGAAATATAAGTCTTTTGTAACAATGTAAGAGTATTTATTATTATTTCTATTGTTTTTCGTATCATCATTATAAATGTCTTTGCTGTCACTTATGGTCAATATGATGTATACTTGCTAAAGTATAATTTTTTTTAAATATAAAATGTACTACTGACCCGAAACTTTTGTTATATATATATATATATAGTCAGTTATTGGTTATTTAATCTATTTAACTAAAGTAATTTTCAGGTACTAATAATTCAATTACACTGTTAAATTTAATCTTTGACAATCAAGTCAAGACAGCTTATTAATATTGGCCATATTAATATTGCTATGTCCCTGTTAGAAAACGTCTTTAGATATTCGTAACCTTGTACATTATTTATTGTTTCATAATGTTCAATTGTCTCATACAGATAACAGACCCGTCTGAAAAGAGGTACGAGGTGCCTATAGATGTTCCTGTGGTTCAGAAAAGAGCATCAAATCCTTCTTACACCGTAGAATTCATCGAAGAACCTTTCGGGCTGATTGTCAAGAGAACGCAGACAGGAACTGTGCTGTAAGTACTGTTTTTTTTGTCGACTAGCATGAGAAAATGCAATGATTTAATTTCTTTTACCATTAGAAATGATGACCAGAAGACTCTAGTTTAGAGATCTATAGTGTATCAGCATTGAGTTATTAACATGTATGTTCACATTCCGTTAGGCTGAATACATCTATAGCTCCTCTCTTCTTTGCGGATCAGTTCCTGCAGATGTCCACATCATTACCGTCACGTTTCATATATGGACTGGGTGAACATCGCTCCAACTTTCTGCATGACGTCCAGTGGAACACACTCACCATGTGGGCTCGAGATGTTCCACCCATGGTAACAACATGACTTTTGTCTTCTGATGTAATAATCTGCCAGTGCTCTTTCAAATTTCAAGATTTAAAACACTGAAAACAAGAAGTTTAGCACAATTATTGGCCTTTCATCCAGTCTATAGGAAAAGTAACACGGTCACATCACAGATTAATAAAAGTTCTAGATTGCACTTACTTTTCTGTACTCCTCGATCCTTTTTTCAGGAGCTGACCAACCTCTATGGCGTCCATCCCTTTTATCTTTCTGTGGAATCTGATGGGATGGCACATGGGTTTTTCATGCTCAACAGCAATGCAATGGGTGGGTTCATCACACACACACATGCACGCTTCATTCTAGCTTGATCTTGAGGTAATGGTTAATATGAATTAACTTGAATCTGCTGAAATGTTCCTATAAATATATTTTCTTTCCAACTGTGCATTCTGAATAATAAATAAATATATTTCCCCACTAACAGCAGCAGTCCAGTGCTCGTCTTCTCATTAACAGTGTTTTTCTCTTACTGATCATATTTCATACCTGCTGAGTTTACATTTTTAAAGTAATTTGACTGATAAAGGGATTGCTTGTGTGTGTATTACAGTCTTTTAAAATATTTGAAGGAATGTGTGGTACATGCCTTAAATTTAACAGTTAAATATTTAATTATTAAACAGTAACGCACACAGCATAAAAGGAGAATGACAGTCAACTACTAGGAATATTAATTAAGAATTTGGAGCATAAACATGTAAATTACATACAGTAAAATGACTGACAATGAGAAATGACAGAATAGTGATTAAAATATTGAATACAAATAAATAAATATTCTTATTCATCAGGTCTCACACACTTCAGCATTGTGCAGCATCACTAGTGTAGATGAGCACTGTCAGCCTGTGGTGAAATAATCATGTATGTTTAACAGCCGCTGCTTTCTCAGATTGGCTTGGGTTGGATTAAAACTTCACGGTGTGTTCAATTTGGAAAATTCTTTACACAGTAAACATTAAAATATCTCGTCTCCTGTCTCAGAAAATGTCCAGGTTCTTCTCATTTTAGGTGACGTTTAGTCAACTAGGTGACTAAAGCACATTGAAAATATAAATAACCAGAAATAAATAAGTTGTACTATTTCAAAACCGAAGTGCCTCATGAATGCAAGTAGTCCATTTTTGTTCCTGAAATGCTCAGTGTTTTTGCCTGTGAATCTTTGTTTTTGCGGATAACGTCTCAACTTTGTATTAACGTGTGTAAATAATCTGTCATGTAGATGTGGCTCTGCAGCCTGCACCTGCTCTCACCTGGCGTATGATTGGTGGGATCCTCGACTTTTACATTTTCCTGGGCCCAGATCCCATCTCTGTGATTGGACAGTACCTGGATGTTGTAGGTCAGCAAGCATCATAACCAGTATTTGATTTTGCACTTTGACATGAATCAGAAGTTGACCAACTAATGATGTTATCTTCTCTCATTAGGTAAGCCTGCAATGCCCATCTACTGGGCTCTGGGCTATCATCTCTGCCGATGGGGCTACAAGTCTAGCAACAAAACCTGGAATGTTGTGAGAGAAATGCGGAATTATGGGATACCTCAGGTACTACACAGTAGCTGTTAGATCATTTTCATTAATTATTGGTTTGGTGTAGGTAAATATGGTTCATAGTCAAATGTTTACTGATTGGTTAGAATTTGAAATCAGCCGAAGCTCACTAGATTTGCGCTTTCAATAGACATCAAGAAAAACTCTGCACAGAAAATAATGCAAAAAACGTGTGCAATAAATTATATCTGTTTCCATCAGTGTTGTTGTAAACTGTTGATAAATCTTATAACTTGAACTTAAATGAATATTAGACATGTCGCTTTGGCAACTAAATGAAATTTAAATCAATTGAAGTGATTAAAATTAATAAAACAAAAATAGATAGAAATAGAAATAGAAAAAAACAATAAAAACGACAAAAATCAACACACTTACTAAAATTAAAATAAAAAATTGTTAAAAATAAACTCTGCATAAAAGAAATGTCAATTTTTCAGGATACTGTATTTTAAAGATAATTTTATAAAATCTAAATAAGCTTTACAGATCTTTATTGGAAAGTGTTAAAACAATGTCTTTTCATGCTCGTTCAATGATCCATAAAGAAATTTTTGCACATGCACCAGTTTACAGGCAGGCAAGAAAATTAATGTCACAGTTCCAATAACTTAGGACATTAAAGAGACCTTTCTACTAACATTGAAAAACACAAGGAGAAAGATGCGCAGGGTCTCTGATCACCTGTGTGAACATTCTATAGTCCTGCTGAAGGGAGGCATGAGGACTGCAGATGTGGCCAGAGCAATAAACGGCAAAGCCCATAATGTAAGACGCCTAAGACAGTGCTACAGGGAGACAGGAAGGACTGCTGAGTGTCCTTGCAGTGCCAAACCACCTGTAACCATGTGTCGTCCCAGATGAGTTTGAGAACTTGCAGGTGGAGCAACATCTCACAGAAAAAAACTGTCAAATATGTCTCAGTCCATGAAGATGATGCACTGTAGCACTTAAAATGCCAGATACTACTGACTGCTACTTTTGATATTCACCCCCGCTCTGTTCAGGGACCCATTCCATTTCTGTTCATCAAATGTCTGTAAAATCTTTTCTGTTCATGTCTCATTTGCTGAATCATTTTATGTCCATACAAATATTTACACATAATAACCAATTTTATGTGGAAGCGGGAGCAGTTAGCAGCGTGAGGATGTTCCTTTTTTTGCTGAGTTTAGTAATACATACTATAATGTACATATAAATAATTAATACTAGTCTGTATTGGGGTAAACTACTAGCATTGTAGACAAACACTCATTGTTCACAGGGACATTAAAACAGCACTTTTGAAATCTAGTGAAAATTTTAATGTTGCATATGCATAATGTACTTGATCATTTGCCTCATATTGCTGACACGCAAAGAGAAGTCTGATTTAAAAAAAAAAAATGTATGAACCACAGAAGAACACTGACTTAGCATTATGCATTTGGAAAAATGACTAATTATAAATTGTACAAAGCAAATTGATTTTTTTTTTTATCTTTCAGGACGTTCAGTGGAATGACATTGACTACATGGATCGTGCTCTAGATTTTACTTATGAGCCTATGAACTTTTCAACCCTACCTGATCTCGTGAAAGACCTTCACATACATGATCAACACTACGTCATGATTCTGGTACACACTCACACACACACTCACTTTGATTGACTATGAACTACTATACCTTAGGTAACTCTACTAGGAAAGCTAAATGATCTTGAAGGGGATAGGGGAACTTACTTCATACTTTATAAAATAAGTTTACTGTACCAGCATTTCTGCAGTACTGGTAGTACCAAGTACCCGGTATTATCGGTACCCGCTGTTTTCAAACGCTCTTGTTCGTGTTTGTTTGAGCACTCTCTGACAGATGAGACAAAACAGGACTTTTTTTTTTTAAAGTACTAAATTCCAGTTTTTGCTCTGGTAACGAAATTGGTACATAAAACCTCGAAATCTTTCTGGTATTAATACCGACTACTGAAATTTGGTGCCGTGGCAGCTTCATACATCCACTAAAAATCACCAGTTGGTTAAAAGTCATTGCACAAATGACTCAGAAAAGTGAAGTTTGTTTCCTGCTCAATAGCTCCTGGATCATTTGTTTGAAGATGACACTTGGTTTGAAATGCAATGACTTTCATACATGTTAAATGTGTCTTAAATCATTTGTGAGGACTGTCAATAGATTTATTTCCAGAAAGCAAATCAACTAAAAATCAAAATGAGAGGAACTTCTATGTTCTGTGGGTTTATTAAGCATCCATATGACACAATTCCTCATTCTGCTCTCGTCTCTTTTGTGTTGCATTAGAATCACACTGACAGTCATGAGGCAGATTTGGCAACTGAATGTTTCACATGCGGTTGAGATCATCACTAAAGCATTTGGATGTGTCACTGTGGATTTAGCTGAAGTGGGCTTGATTTAAACTGCAGTTTGTGTCTTTTTTGCTCTTCCTCATCAGGATCCCGGCATCAGTAGCTCTCAGCCGTCTGGCTCCTACTGGCCGTTTGAGGAGGGGAAGAAGAGAGGCATTTTCATCAATGATTCGAATGGAGACATCTTAATTGGGAAGGTACAATGAGTTTTTTTCATTTATTTTTATTTTTATAAAGAAGTCACATATGCTCACCAAGGCTGCATTTATTTGATCAAAAATACAGATTTTTTTTTATATTGCGAAATATTATTGCAATTTAAAATAACTGTTAAAATAACTTATTCCTGTGATGCAAAGCTGAATTTTCAGCATCATTACTCCAGTCTTCAGTGTCACATGATCCTTCAGAAATCATTCTAATTATGCTGATTTTGGTGCTCATGAAACCTTTCTGTTAAATACCGTTGTGTTTTTTACCCAAAACTGAAGAAATGATCTCATGTCCAGATGAATACTACAGACTTTTCCACAATAATTTCATGCCTTATTGGTTGTGGAATAAATGAATCATGGCTGACGACACGAGTAAACATTTCTCCAATTGCATCGTAATCAATAAACTTAAGTGTCATGCTGCATCGCACCAATAGGTGTCAATATGAAGTCCAACAAACATAAACATAAACTTAGTAATTAATTAGAATGTATAAGAGTGCTTGGAAGCTTAAATGTTTTTGATTAAACAAAATTAAATGAAAATGTAGTAATTATGAATATTATATGTGACTTGACTGCAGATATTTTTGCTTGTTTCTAAGGTCTGGCCAGGACTCACTGCTTTTCCAGATTTCTCCAATCCAGACACTCATGAATGGTGGTACCAGAATCTGCAGAGGTTCCATGATAAAGTGCCATTTGATGGCGTGTGGATTGTATGTTGTGCATTTGTATTATTCCTTGTTTGATGGTTCATTATTTGTATTTAGCCAAGCATTGATCTTGCTTTTTAATATATACTCTTCCTCTTTTTGTCTCTTCCTCAAGGATATGAATGAGCCATCTAATTTCTTTGATGGGTCACTGAATGGTTGTCCAGAGAATGAACTGGAAAATCCTCCCTACACACCAGGTATCAGTGTGTTCGCTATTATGTGGACATCTACATTATTCATGCTACGTTTCTTCCAACAATAAGACATGGTATTGTCTGCTGTAGGTATTCTGGGTGGTACATTAAGGGCCAAGACTGTGTGTGCATCTGCACGTCAGAAAATCTCCTCTCACTACAACATACACAGTCTGTATGGACTCATGGAATCTAAAGCCACTGAAAGGTACACACAATCACACAAAAATACACTACCATTCAAAAGTTAGGGGTTGATAAAAAATGTATGCTTTTGAAATGTTTTTTAATGTCTTATGCTCACCAAGGCTGCATTCATTTGAAAAATAATGTAAAAAACGTAATATTGTAAAATATTAATAAACTTTACATAACTGTTTTCTATTTTATATATATAATTTATTCCTGTGTTGGCGAAGCTGAATTTTCATCATCAATACTCCAGTCTTCAGTGTCACATGATCCTTCAGAAATCATTCTAATATGCTGACCTGATGCTCAGGAATTTTTTTTTTTTTATTATTATCAATGTTTAAAAACAGTTGTGCTGCTTAATATATATTTGTGGAAACCATGATACATTTTTGTGAGGATTCTTTGAGTAGAAAGTAAAAAAAAAGAACAGCATTTATTTGAAATAGAAATCTCTGTGACAATGTAAAACCCACTTTTGATCAATTTAATTCATTTTTGGTTTTTCTCCTTCTTTTTAAAATCTTACGACCCCAAACTTTTGTCAAAAACTTTTTGTTATTTTTAAAGAAAGCACATTTTCAACCAAAACATTTCATCCCCCAAAAAAAGTATTTGGACACTTTGTTTATCAAACGTTAGTGGATCCTGACCATCTGTCTCTCTCAGTGCTTTGAGGAAGATCACAGGGAAGCGTCCTTTCGTCATTTCCCGCTCTACGTTTCCCAGTCAGGGCAGGTATTCGGGCCACTGGCTCGGAGACAACAGGAGCCAATGGAAAGATCTGGTCACATCTATACCAGGTATAATCGCACACTCTCTGCTGAGGTCAGAATTAGTCCCATATGGTGTTGTATTGACTACAGATTCACTAACCATTTTATTTAAAATTTTTTCCAGGTATGCTGACATTTAACATCCTGGGCATTCCTCTTATTGGGGCAGACATCTGTGGCTTTGGGGGCAGCACTACAGAAGAACTGTGTGTCCGATGGACCCAGCTCGGAGCTTTCTACCCCTTTACAAGAAACCACAACTCCATAGATGAACAGGTGAACTTTCTTCCATCCAACCAAACACTGTTATGACTCTTTATTTAGCTTTAGACTACAGCAAAATCTGCAGCTGCAGCTGGTCACAACTCATAATGCTAAGATACGCGCTGCTTTAGAGGATCTACTGTGTTTTTCAACTGTTTTGGTCTTATTGATTTTCTGCGGTCTTGAGGCGTTTTTGTCTGTTCATCTGATTAGTTCCCCATCTGTCTGTTGTTTTGCCAGTACAATATTCTGTTTTTATAATGTTTTTCATCTGCATTCCAAAGGCAAGACTCTGATGGATTAACAGTTTTGTCATTTTCACAACAGGATCAGGAACCAACTGCATTCAGTCCTGCAGCTCGTACAGCAATGAAAGAAGCCATCCTTCTCCGTTATTCCCTGTTCCCACATCTCTACACACTCTTCCATCACGCACACATCAGTGGACACACGGTCGCCACACCACTGCTCTTTCAGTAAGATAAACACATGTGACTTCAAACCCTTATTGCATGTGCATTTAATTCTTAAAGGAATAGTTTTCTCCAAACCTTGGAGTTATCTAGCAGCATCTAATGACAGAATTATAATTTTTTAGTGAAATATCTAGATACAGATCCAGGCACTTAATATTAATCATTTCAGGAAGATGTCCACTTTAATTGACTATTTTGCATATAATCACGGTCTGACTCTGTGCTGTGTTTTAGGTTCCCTACCGATGAGAAGACATATGGGATAGATAAACAGTTCCTATGGGGAAAGAGTTTGATGGTCACGCCGGTTTTGGAGGCAGGACGAGATTATGTAGTGGGATATTTCCCTAAAGGTCTCTGGTACGATTTTCACACCGTAAGTCACATCCTCTCTTGAAACCCTTTTAGAAATAGAAACTCACAATTCTTTTACTTTGTAGTCTCATACAACATTGATATTTGTTTGTCACAAACAGGGTGACTCATTGGTAAGCAGAGGAGAAGAGATCAAACTTCAGGCTCCAATGGACAAAATCAACCTGCATCTAAGAGAGGGTTCCATCATTCCTACACAGGTGAAAAAGAATAACATTATTTACATATTCGTACATTATTGTTTTTCAGTTAATGCAGACAGACTTCCTTAAAGGTGCATTGCGCAACATTTCATGTTAAAAATACCTGTTTTTCTAACCCATACATGCTTAAACAATTGCCTGATGGGCTGAATGAGCCCTTCTCTGATCACTGCGATTGCCTCTATAATCCTGTACAGTAAAATAAATAAGAGGGATTCGGGACTGAACGTGAGACTGGGCGTGACGTCATGCGCGTTCACGCTCCCCTGGCTATGTCTGGCAGGTTTGTGTATTCGCCGCCATTCTCCGTATCAGCGAAGCCAACTTGAGCGACAAAACTTTAGTCAACTTTTCGGCAAAAGTAGAAGATGGATTCCAAGAGACCGGCTTGTAGTTCATTTTGTCTTCTAAATGTATGAACTATTGTGACCTTGCCCAGGGACAGCAGTTGAAAAGTATTGACACATTTCACATAAATGTTCGTCAGTATGTATTGTCCCTGTCAAAATATCTACTAAATAAATCAGCACTACTACATGTAGTTTAGTGATTCGCTATTCGAGTAAAACAGTTCAAGATTCTTGAGTGTGATATAAAATGCTGATATATAAGGTAGATAATTAGACACAAATTTTGAGCAAATTACTGCCTAATTAGGATGTAACGTTATTGCTATTGGAATATGCTACTTAGCAGATCAATAAAACAGGCTAAACCCCCGCAAATCTTCGGCGGATTAGCCTTTTTGGCTTTTACGGTAACGTCATAGTGCCATTTGATTGTTTATTACCTTGAGACATTTGAGTGTACTTTGTTGACCAACTGTGTATGGTATGATTATTATTGCAAGCGTGCGTGTGCTTGTGGTCCAAAAACTCAGAGACTTGCGGAATGCACCTTTAAGTAATTTATATGTAATTATTTCTAAATATAATCCAGATTTTATATATAATAAATACATTTCCTGTTAAGGAGGTTTTCTCCATTTACTATTGTTGCACATTATCATACATCATATGTTTAATAGTTAATAATGGTTCTTATTATAATCATAAATGCTGAAAACATTTTTTAAAAGATCTAAATGGTAGTGCATCACATTTCTACAAAAATATTAAGCTGCACAACTGTTTTCAACATTGATAATAATAAGAAATGTTTCTTGAGCAGCAAATCAGCATATTAGAATGATTTCTGAAGGGTCATGTGACACTGGAGACTGTAGTAATGATGCTGAAAATTATTAGGTAGAATATAAATGACATCTTAAAGTCTATTAAATTGTAATAATATTTCACAATTTTACTGTATTTCTGATCATATAAATGCAGCCTTGGTGATCAGAAGAGACTTCAACATTAAAAATCGTAATTATTCCAAACTTTTGACCCCCATTGTATATATACATTTAATAAATAAATGATCTGTTTAGGAAGTCTTTGTTTGATGTCTAGGTAATTTATGTATCATTTATTTGATACTTTAAGGAAGTATTTAGGAAATAATTTACTAGTAGCCGATATTCCCTCTAAGAAGCGGCGGCCGCGCAGAAAAGAATAAAATGCCACGCAGAGGACTGACGCGAAATGTGTGGGGAAATCCATTTGATTGTAGTTTAAGTGAGAAAAAATTTCAGTGCTCTGGTCAACCGCTATAGAGTGAAAACTGGTAAATGCAGTTTACAGGTTTCATAGAAAGAGAACGATGTGAGCGCGTGTGATTGGCAGTGAGTCGTGTGTGCGGACCAAATAGCTCAATACGAGAGGCAACGAGAAACGCAAAGACATGTGAAATAAAATCCCATCATAATGTTTTAAAGAAGATTAAAGTGGTGGAAATAACGGTTGATGGCCACAGAACGGTAACAATTACACACCCACCCACGTGCAAATTCAAAATACATAATTAGTTTAAATAATTGTTTTGTGTGTGGGGGGAGTTTCAGGGATGGTGAGATTATAAAAGAGTTCACATTCACTTTTCTTGAAAATATTTAGCTATTAGATCTATTTAAACGCTTCAGTTTGTTTTCATATTATAATAATATAATATGTAAACAAATTGAAGCATTTAAACTGATATATTATATCACTTCAAATACTTCAATTCGTTTTTTTATATTATATTATATTAGGCCTATATTTTATTATATTATAAGCCTAAATAAAGGATCTCACAAGGGTATTGTTAAGGGCTCGTTGCCATTAAAAAGTTTGAAACCCCCTGCTAAAGAAGATATTGGAAATTCATAAGCAATAAACAATCATTTAACTTTGATGGTTTAATGCTTCCTGTACACAATTAATTGACTGTACAAAAACACTTTATGGTTTTCCCAAACCATCTCAGTGTAACAGCTTACTTTTCTTTCATACATATTCTATTGTAAAGAATTGAACTGTCCTGCAGAAGATTTTGTAAATTATTTTTCATAGGATTTCTTGGTAAAGACTGTACAGTTAACAGCACTGTAAAAAAAATATCAGGTAACCTAAAATGTGCTTCATTTAGTGACTTCTTAATTAACTGCTTGTTTTTCGAAAATATGATTTAATACCAATGAGTTACATCAAGGGTCAAATAAAATAGAAATGGCACATTCAAGTTAAAAGTTACAAGTGAATGTTGAAACCATTGTGTTTCTACGTATGCTGTACAGGTCAGGTATAAAGAATATTTTTGCTCAGGTGGCGAAAAATGTCCGCCCAATTGAAAAAAGTTTTGCTCAGCAAGAAAAAAAATTCGAGGGAACATTGCTAGTAGCAGTAGTGTTGGCTGTGATCTTTGGGCATGTTTACTTGAATTTTGTTCTATATGTTTGTGTTTTAGAGACCGAACACCACCCTGTGGGTGAGCAGCGGTCAGCCCCTTCATCTGATTGCAAGTCTGAGTGAGGACGGTCTGGCCAAGGGTGATTTGTATTGGGATGACGGAGAGACCATTGACTCATATGAGACTGATCAGTACGCTTACATCTATTTCACAATAGAAAAGGTACAGAAAACAGAAAACCGTTCACGTTTACTGAAGCACACCAGAATGCTTTACTTTCAGTAAGCTTTCATTAGATCCTCATTTTATGGGCACAGTATAAAAGGTTATTTATTCATCTATTTTACATGCTGCCTCTCACATTTCATGTAATCACCCCTTAACTTTTCTCAAATACTCAGTTTATTCTTATTCAATGTTATTTTATTAAATGCATCACTTGCTTGTTCTTAAATGCTGTCTACTACTTGTGTGTGTATGTATGGATATAATGATCTTTATTAATGATCTTCAGAACACAATGAAATCAGAGGTGCTGCATAATCATGAGGAGGCTACTTACATCACTGTGGAAACTGTTTCCTTTTATGGGGTGAAGACAGAGCCAGAAAATGTAACCGTGAATTCACAAGAGGCAGCATTCACTTACCGTGACAATCAGGTAATATACTTTAATACAGTTTTTAGGAAGCTACTGGTTATAAGTACTGTGATGATTGTACATATTTAGTTATCAGGTTAAATTAGAATTTTAAACGGTAAGTTAGAAGAATAAAATGTAAATGTTTAGTATGTTCATCTGCAGTTATCTGATACTCTATAAGCTTTCATTAGGCTTAGGTTTTGTTGAAAATAATTTGGAATATTTGTCTGTGGTACACTGAATTACAAAAAAAGGTTTATTTTTGTAATGCATTTAAAAATAATTTAAATACTTAAAATATCTAGGTCAGGGGTATTCAATTAAAGTTCCAAGAGGTCCGGCCTTTATATTTCTTTCCCAGTGGAGGTCTGGACAATACTTTTTTGGAATAGTTTATACATTTCCATCTGGGCGGCAGTAGTACTTTGTTAAAGAAAAAAAATTAGTTTATTGGGCCATCAAAGCCACAGAAGTGGTGTCTGAGAATTAAAAAAAAAAAAAAATAGATAACCAAGATATTAATATTAAAGGGTAACATCAGATGTTTTATCAGTCTATTATTATTTTTACATTTAGATACATATGCATGGCAGGAGGTTTTTTTTTTTTTTTTTGCTTAAAATAAGTATCTGCTAAAAACAAACAAACAAACACTGTACATAATCAAGACGCTCTCATCATGAGCTGAAACTAAAGTTAACTTCTAATTTCGAAGTCTTTCCTTGCCATCTACAAATAATTTTCCCAATTCTAACATTTATGAAAAGCTGTTAACATGGTGATAAATAATGCTATATGTAGATGAAAAAATCTCTTTGTCAAAAAAAGACATGCATATATATATATATATATATATGCATGTCAGATGAAAATAATTGTATTTGCTGCATTGTTGTTTTCTGCAGTGTTTAAGCTAAAGTATTAATCTATTTTGCTGTTCGCTGTGTTTCTGCTACTGTTGTTAAAATAACTGCGTCATCTGCACTGTTTTTAATGTGGCTCTTTAGTGGGAGAGAGAAGCAACGAGCAGGAAGGTCTTGACTTAAGGGCGTTTGGCTCTAGATAAAAAATATTAGAGGATATAGGGTCGAAAGATTATAACCATAAATGACCCTGAGCGTGTGTGGCGTGTTCTGCTCCTTTGTTTTGCTTTGCCGCACTGCTCAATTTAAACAGTAGAGACGGTAAAATGGTGCTACCGTTGTCATTATGACTCGCCGTCCGGTTGGAACCAAACCAGGGTTCGGAACCGGAGCGCAGTCCACCCCTGATCTAGGTTAAAATATCTAGGTTGAATTAAAAGATCCAAGATTCAGTTAGCAGTGGTGTCAAGAATGATTTTTTGAATTTGAAAAATAGCAAAAAAGAAAAGAAAAGAGCCTTAAAGAAATGTATTTATTGTCTTCTGTCTGTCTAGGTGCTGACAGTAACAGACTTGGGTCTGAACCTCAGTCATAACTTCACAATCAGTTGGATGTAAACGTGAATCATCAGTGCTGTTTCTGAACTGCAAATTCCTGCTGAAATCATGATCTTAACATCTCAGCTGACATTATCTCAGTACTTGTACAGTGGTGGTTCTGGTTTCAGCCTAAAATCAAATATGAACCAGAAAGGATATGACAGATTATTGATTGTATGTTGAATTTCTCATGTGCACTTTAAGTGTACTCTTTATTATTGACCCACCAGTGGTCAGTTGCACTCAGAGGAATTAAAACCTAAGGGAAGAAGTATGTGTATTTTGATGAAGTTATTTGTTTGATCTGTTGAATGGATAGATATTTTTACCTATGATGTTATATTACTGCCTGTTATTGCTGATATTGTTTCTAGAGCAGAAAGATTGTTCTTCTGTTTTAAACCTTTTAATTGTGAATTAAAGGGATAGTTCACTTTGAAATTAATTTTTGATATGTTTTAGCTTAGCTCAAGGGCATCCAAGATGTAGGTGTCTTTGTGTCCACAGTATTTTCAATTTTGATATTTTTAGGTCAAACCGTTCTTGTCTGTCAGTCATATAATGCAGGTCTATGGGGTCCACCTCAAAGAGCATGCTCAGAGAAGTCCAAATTAAACATGATTTAATGACTCATACATGTAAGTACACATTGATGGCCTAAGACACGAAACGAGCGGTTTGTGTGAGAAAACGAACAGTATTTATATCGTTTTTACCTCTTGTAATCACAGTCACGTCCAAGTACTCTGATGGCGCGGGCGCCTCTGTCTGCGCAAGCGCCGGAAAGCCCCGGAAGTGATCTCTCGCGCGTGTACATCATTCTCTGACGTCACTCATTGTTTACACAGAGATTTCGGGCGTTTTACCTTTCACTGTGAAGATCTAAACATATTTAGATAAGCAGGAAATCGCAATGGAAGACGATTTCAGAAAGAAATTAGAAAAAAAGAGAGATTTTACGTCCGAAATCTCTGTGTAAACAATGAGTGACGTACACGCGAGAGATCACTTCCGGGGCTTTCCGGCGCTTGCCGGCGCTTGCGCAGACAGAGGCGCCCGCGCCATCAGAGTACTTGGACGTGACTGTGATTACAAGAGGTAAAAACGATATAAATACTGTTCGTTTTCTCACACAAACCGCTCGTTTCGACAAACCTCAGTTTGTTTTCTTGCCAAGAGTTCAAAAGATAGCATCCATTCAATTATTTTAGAAAAAAAGGTCTGAAATTTTGTTTAAATATAAAGAAAAAAATTATAGATTCACCATTTGTGATGTGGCAGCGAGCTATAACGCACATACTTGTTCTTTTTATGTGTTTCTTAGAGGTTGAATTCATATCAAAATCTGCCAAACTTCCCATACTACTTCTGAATAGGATGTCTACTTCATAAATTGTATGAAAATTGTGGAAATAATGGTTCATATCACTCAAAACACATATGGAAATGGAGGGGCCCTTATATGGGCAGTAATGGAGTCTGGTCGTGACCTAGTGAAAAAGTTTGGTACTGCGCCCAAACAAAATCTTACTGAAAGCTCCTTTTTTGAGCTATCAACCTACAATTTGTAACACAACTTGTTCAGATTTTTGGCTTTGATTTTTTTTGTTTTTTTGCAGTTTTAGAGTCGCCCAGGTTTTGAAAATATATTTAATTTATTTCACTTCTACAAAAATCTGCCAAATGTCTTCTTTAAAACGAGACCAATCTTACGTCTATATTCCAAAGCATTCTTGAATTACAACCATTTAAGTTCGAATTGTGCATTTTCATGTATATAAAAAAAAAAGGGGGGTGACAGTTAACGGGTTAAAGTAGTTTCCCATGCCATCAAAACCTATAATTCAAAATGAATTTGAGCATCTTAAAGCAAATATTTTGGAGTGATTCAATGAACCAACAGAACAAAAACAACTGCAAATTCAAAAGTTATCCTGCTGAATTCATAACCTTCCAGATTTTTCCAAATTATGTAAATATTATTTTGAATTGCATATGTGTATATATTGTTTACAAGCATGAAATGCATGTTTAAGTTAGCAAACATTATTTCCATGCACTGACAGGCTTGTAATTAACATGATCCATTATATTCAGCGATAGAAACTTCTGAATCATTTATTTGAATGCCCAAAGTGATTAAGTCTAAAATGTATAACCATGAAAATATTATGAAAGTATATCACTGTACAGTATTCATCAAGGCTTAAAGAGGCATAATTGTGCAGTATTGCTACCACATGCTGTCGATATTACCATTTATAGCATAACATTGTGCCTTATATTTCATCAAAGCTGTGATTCAACATTCAGTGGCTTTACTGTGAATGTATAAAACCCTCTGTTTGAAAACACTGGGCTGCTTTACAGACGTGTGCTCCTACATGAAGCTAAAAGATATATCTATATGAGTGAACAAGCCAGTTTAAGGCATCTTTTTCTTGAAATGCTTTCAGAGGACATACAGGGTAGTGTGCAATAAAATTCAAAGTGTTCATCTTTTCTCTTGTGTTTTTTTCCTTTTGTTTTGAGGCAGTGATACACTCTCAGAAAAAAGTTACAAAAGCTGTCACTGGGGCGGTACCCTTTTGTTCCTTTTAGATACCAATATGCACCCTTTAGGTACAAAAGTGTACTTTTTGAAAAAGTAATGCCCCAGTGACCGCTTTTTTTCTGAACTAGCAATCCCCTAAACACCATAATAACCACCCAGAATACCTTAGCAACATGCTAAAAACAACTCCGCAAATATTTGAGTAAAAGGCCATGTGTTTATTTTTATCATTTACAAACTTTTTAAACCACAGCATGTACTCATATACCCGAACCTAACACACCTGATTATTTGATGTCTTGCGGTCAGAGCTATAGTTATATGTGGCCGGGTTATTCCTACATGAAACTGGATTTGGAGGCACTTCCTTCACTTTGTAATGGGAAATGGCTTTTCTCAGCTCAGTGCTGAGCCCTGAGGAAAAGTCAGGGAGCTATTTAAACACAATACATTTTTCTAGTATTATAAAGTTATATGCCCTCAGAAAATAAACTCAAATGTGATTTTTTGTTTGTTTTAGGTAACATTTAACAATAGTCCCATTAGTTAATATTAGTTTAGGTTAGTTCACCAAAAAATTTAAATTCTGTAATTTATTCACCTTCATGTTGTTTCAAATCTGTAAGACTTTTGTTCATCTTCAGAACACAAATGAAGATATTTTTGATGAAATCTGAGAGCTTTCTGTCCCTCCGTTGGCAGCTACGCAAGTGACACAAAGATGCATCAAAAAGCTCAGAGATCGTAAAACTACTCCATATGAATAGAGCGGTTTAGTCCAAATTTTCTAAAGAGAAACGATTGCTTTATATAATGAACAGATTGAATTTAGGCTTTTATTCACATTCGTCAACTCACACATCAGTTGTGGCAAACAGAAGCTCAAGCATGTTTGCAAGTTACTGTTTTTTTTAGACAGACATCAGTGTTTAAAAAACAACTTTCAGCCAAAGTTTGATTTTAGTGTACAATAATCCAGAGCATGAAAGCAATTACCGACAAGATTTTGTTTAGACCTTGAGCATTTCTGTTGTTTTAAGCAAAATGTGTTTCTGTCTTTTAACACATTTAATAAACATTTTCTTCTTGTTCTAAGAAGCATTGTTGTAAACCCAGAGCTGATAGCCAAACGTAGCTTTCTCTGTGAGTGAATCTGCACATCTGAACCTTCAGCTTTCATCTCACACTGACACAAGACCTGTTTGAAGATCAAAGCCAGACTTTGCTTCCACATAGAGTATGATATGACAGCAAGTTGACAGCCATGTTTCTGTATAGGCCGATGCAAGCAGAAAGAAATAAAGGCAAAAAACAAAACGAAAAGAGGGACAAAAATAGAATTAAGTATGGGGCAGAACTTTCATTTCTTGATTGGTTATTAATTATGATTTCCATTACACGAGAAAAATAAATAAATAATCATAATTAATGAATTAATGCATGTTGAGAAGTGTTTTCCGAAGGTCCAAACACAATTATGAATACATGAGCTTCCTCTGACAGAAGATTTCCATTATTAACAAAATAATCATCACAATTACCTTTAAAACATGACAACATGTAGCAGACCAAGATAATGGTCATAATTACTACAGTGCAAATGTGTTTTTGACAAATTAATGATGAATATGAAACGTGTTAAAGCGAGCGCCTGTCATTATCCACTCCATTCCTCTTGTAATAGGGCTATTCTACAGTGAGAAAACATTGACTGTTAAAACTGTCCTATGATAAATGACACTCAGATACAAAATATGACAGTGGGAATTCACACTACCGTTCAGAAGTTTGGGGTTGGTAAGATTTTTTTTATGTTTTGAAAGAAGTCTCTTGTGCATCAGTTGTGTTGTTAATCTAATTTCAACAAAATCAGCATTGACTGCATTTAGCAAGTTTGCTCTTGCAAGAAACCAAACTAATTTTTAATAATACAATTAATGCGCAACAAACACTAATTCTGGAATGTTGCTTAATTTACTTCACAGCAGATTTACATGCATTGTCTGTGTAATTCCAGTTTAATACGCTAATTGGAAATTCTTTCAGAATGAAATAATGTTTATTTTGGCAGTAAAAGCAGAATAGCATTCATTTTAGCCTAGAAGAAAGCAATCACACAGTACTCCCCCGCATTCTCTGTGTGTATATTGAGGGCTTCCGAGATAACAGCTTCCAGATGTCCCACATTCTCACTCTTTCATTGCCAAAGAAGTGACATTATACCATGAATTGTTGTCTTTCTGTCAGTTTTTTCTGTCACCATGTTTCGGTCACCACCACAGGGTTTTAGAGAGGCAGAAACATTTTATCACACACATACACAGTGCAAGAGTTTGTTGGGAATGGTTCATTCATATCACTTGGTTTTTTTTAAACATCTCTTGGCATACAATCTCAGCATTTCTAACTAAAAATGAATTTCTTGATTCCTCTTTATGTTCCAATTAAGATAAAAGTATGTGTGGGCTGCTACAAGCAATTATTTAGGACTGTTTAAATACACAAAACCACGTTTAATTCTAGAACAAACTAGATTTAACTTCTTCACTAACAAATAGCTTATTCATTCATTACTTTTAGTAAAGACTTAAAAAGCACATGTTGATGATTAAATATGAACAAAATAGTAAAAAAGTCCATTTTTAAAGGAGCTGTATGTAAGAAATGTTTTTCAATTAATCATAAAATGGCCCTGGTGTGTCTCTAGACATTAAGAAATCATGTTCATTTCAAATACTTATATCACTGACAACAGTAGTACGGCCACGATATTGTCATTTAAAAAGTGAAGTTGCAGCCCTCAACTGATGTTGATGTTGTCATCTTGTGTTTTGGCCTGAAGCCCCACCCTCCACCTATCTACCAATCACGAAGTCAGTAGTGTTTCAGCATCGGGGTTGCCAGCTCTGCTCTAGTTGAAAGCTACTTGTAGCAGCCAACGTTCCTGCTGGATCCTGCAGCCTATCTGGCAACCTCGCGTCAGGGGGGAGGGGGAGGGGATGCACCGCTCTACAGTAATTTGAAAGTGATTGCAGTACCAGTTTTGTCCAAAATCTTACATACAGCTCCTTTAAAGTTGGTTTATATCTAAAAATGTATACCGTCCTTTAAAGTGCCCCTGTGGTGAAAATCATGTTGTAGGTGAAAAAAGGTGAATAGGTGAAAAAATGTTTATATGCTATGTGGTGTTTTTAATATGCTTTAAGACAAACCATGTGTAAATTCATGTCAACACCATTGCTGAGTATTTTCTCCTTAAAACTGCTGTGAACCAAAGACAGTCTCGAAAACGCAGTTTGTTTCTGACGTCACAAACTACCTTGTAACCAATCAGGTCAACTTGTGATCCTCAACGAGTGGATCTCTGAGCTGGTGTGAGTGAGTGGAGGCGGGGCTAATTTGCATATTCATTGAACCGCGAATACTAAATGAGGCAAAAGGTGTAGAGTTACATTCAAGCTAAAGGCATGAAAAAACTTTTAAATATGATCAAAGATGAGTTTTAAGGGATAAAATTATTGACTACATGGGGACTTTAAAAGTTTATAAGTCCTTTAAAGGCCCTTACCTTAAAGAGGACCTATTATGCCCCTTTTTTTTACAAGATGTAATATAAGTCTCAGGTGTCCCCAAGAATGTGTCTGGAAGTTTCAGCTCAAAATACCTCTCAGACCATTTATTATACCATGTTCTAAATGCCCATTTTTGAGTGGAAGGAAACACATGTTGACTTCTTTACAAATGAGCTGCTACTCCCCTCTCCAATTCCGCTGTCCAGAAGAGGGCAGATCCTGTACAGCTAATGCTAGGTTTTGATTATCATCTCTATCGCAGTTAGCTCACGTGACATTGCAGTTCTTCATCATCAATAAAGTTTATTATCTGCATGCGTTTTAAAGCCATATCAGTCTAAACTTCTGATACGGTTTTCTGACACACACACACCCGGAGCACGCGCACAGAAAGCTGGATGTCAGACGCCGCGTCCCGTGAGTATTAAACTAAGTTCTCTTTCACGTCTTATGTAAACGGTCAGATAAACACAATCGGTTATGTCTGTGAATGTAAACAGCAAGTTAAGAAATCACGTATATTACTGTATATTAAAGTGAAAGCAGCGTAATATACAATACCTACTGCTATACACTCACCTAAAGGATTATTAGGAACAGTACAGTGAACTCATTGTCATGTTCAAGAAACCAATTTGAAATGATTCGAGCTTTGTGACATGGTGCATTATCCTGCTGGAAGTAGCCATCAGAGGATGGGTACATGGTGGCCATAAAGGGATGGACATGGTCAGAAACAATGCTCAGGTAGGCCGTGGCATTTAAACGATGCCCAATTGGCCCAAAACATCCCCCACACCATTACACCACCACCAGCCTGCACAGTGGTAACAAGGCATGATGGATCCATGTTCTCATTCTGTTTACGCCAAGTTCTCTACCATCTGAATGTCTCAACAGAAATCGAGACTCATCAGACCAGGCAACATTTTTCCAGTCTTCAACTGTCCAATTTTGGTGAGCTCTTGCAAATTGTAGCCTCTTTTTCCTATTTGTAGTGGAGATGAGTGGTACCCGGTGGAGTCTTCTGCTGTTGTAGCCCATCCGCCTCAAGGTTGTGTGTGTTGTGGCTTCACAAATGCTTTGCTGCACACCTCGGTTGTAACGAGTGGTTATTTCAGTCAAAGTTGCTCTTCTATCAGCTTGAATCAGTCGGCCCATTCTCCTCTGATCTCTAGCATCAACAAGGCATTTTCGCCCACAGGACTGCCGCATACTGGATGTTTTTCCCTTTTCACACCATTCTTTGTAAACCCTAGAAATGGTTGTGCGTGAAAATCCCAGTAACTGAGCAGATTGTGAAATACTCAGACCGGCCCGTCTGGCACCAACAACCATGCCACGCTCAAAATTGCTTAAATCACCTTTCTTTCCCATTCTGACATTCAGTTTGGAGTTCAGGAGATTGTCTTGACCAGGACCTTAAATGCATTGAAGCAACTGCACTGTGATTGGTTGATTAGATAATTGCATTAATGAGAAATTGAACAGGTGTTCCTAATAATCCTTTTGGTGAGTGTATATGCTGTTAATATGAATCAAACAAAAGAAAAACAGAAAATCACTCACTGCTCTTGATTGAATAACTTTATAGCTTTAATAGGAATACATTTCTTACTTGAATACTGCTGTTAAATGCTCTGGCGAGGTGATAAACATGGCGGACTGTGTACAGCTCACTCAGGGCGGGTCTATGCTAATAGGGCAGAGTTCGTCGGCAGTCGTGGACGGGGCCTGTGTAATGTTATGTCACATTGTATAGAAACTGAAAATCTGGCTTATTCTGAGACACTGCTTATGATTTATGGGGATAAAAAAAAAGGAATGGGTAATTTGTTTTACCATTATAGGTTGGTTGTGTTTTTTTTTTTACCATATAGGGTGCAACGTGTGTTAGCCAGGTCTCACCTGCGCTCACGAGCTATCAACACAGGGTGATGATAGCGTACATGACTGGTCATATTAGAGCATATATGGCACTCGTATTGAACTAAGTTTAAGGGAAGCCAGAATGCATATCCATTGACAGAAACATACAGCCTAACTCTGTCTGTCTGTTAGATGCGTATGCATCGTCATGAGATGAACCGCGTTGCAAGTGCGTGCCAAACCGTGGGTGGAGAACGGTACGGTTAGATTTCTTACCGAGAACATTACATACACTGCCGACACACATTTATGTTCAAACACCATGTAAAAGTGAATTTTGCATAATAGGTCACCTTTAAACTCCACCCATGAAGACATAACTTCAGATGGTGAAATCTGTCAAAATGTATTGGTGAAGGTTAATGAAAACCAAAAGTGTTCAACATAACAAATGTGTTATGTATATATTTTTTTTTGGATATCTTCAATTTAGAGGACTTTTTTTTTTAAATGTATACTTTAATGTATACAGTAGTTCCATAAAGTTTCAGTTCCATATAAATCAAATTACCATGACATTACCATCCATACTATTTCTGTAAGGGAAGTCCTTTAAAAATGCTTAACTTAAACTCCACCCATGAAGACGTCAAAATAACTCTTCCCAGGAGTTTCAGGGGTTTCTCAACTTCAGCTGACATGGAACTAACTGACAACTACCCAACTATGATTTGGTCTCTTACTGACATCCATTGGTGAAATAAAGAATGACAACCATTCCAAGTCTTCAAATGTTTTTACACATTCTATATTTGCCTATACGTAGGCTATCTATTCTAAATTCTAGCTATGTTTTATTGTGAAAATGTTTTCACTAAGAGCAAAAACATTGGCACATGTCGATAATTAAATATGAACAAATAGTACGTTTTAAAGTTGGTTTATACCTAAAATGTATACTGTTTATATAATACAAATATTAAAATAGTTAAAGGTCAATCATGTCTAAAGTGCAAGCCTCGATTTGTTACTTCCTTCAGTGTGACTCAGCGAGATTAGACACGTCCAACCACACATACAGAGCACAGCCAAGACACACACCCTGAACATAACCAACACCTGCATATGAACACTGATCTGCAATAATGCACCTAAACAGCTGCACAGCTTTATACAGAAATATAAAGCATGTACACTACCTTGCGCATTGTTTTAAACACAACACAAAGTATTTGGACAATAACAGCACACATTGCAAAAAAAAAAAAACTGAAATTAGAAACAAAATATCAGACAAAGTGGCATTTATTTAAGGAATGATCTGAGGTACACTTTTTCCATAATAAGTTTTTGTGTATGAAATGAGAAAGCAACACATATAGCCTACTGTTCAAAATTAAGTAGCCTATATGGACACTTTCTGGTTGTCAAAGTCTCTTTCAAGGATATCCATCGTTGTAGTCTTTGTATAACATTCTCACCTGGTCACCTGTGAACTTGAGGGGAAATTACTTCATACATACATGCACCAAAAAAAATATCAAAGCATAATTAGTTTGCACTTGGTTTGATGTTTTTTAACTAATAAAATAGTATTCAAAGATTTTCCAATATTACCGTGGCACTTGTCATGGAGCAAGCATGTTTTGGTAGGCTACTTTTTGTAAGTTCTTGCTTGGTACATGAATATGGAAATCATTCAGTTCCATATAAACCAAATTACCATGACATTACCATGTTGTAGGCTACCACACAATTTCTGTAAGGGAAGTCCTTTAAAAACGCTTACCTTAAACTCCACCCATGAAGACGTCATAATAACTCTTCCCAGGAGTTTCAGGGGTTTCTTAACTTCAGCTGACGGTGAAATCACTTGGTGTGGGTGAAAACCAAACGCGTTTAACATTCAGCGTTCATCTCGCTTGTAGGCAGTTTCAGAATCCGTGTTCATTTTAAAGTAGCCTACTAGTCCCGTGTTGAATCGCAGTCGCACCATGTCTGCTGTGAAAGCGCTTCAACAGTGGTGTAAAATCCAGTGTGGAGGATACCGGGACGTGTCGATCACTAACATGACCACATCTTTCCGGGACGGTTTGGCTTTCTGCGCTCTAATTCACAAACACAGACCGGAGTTGATGTAAGTAACATCCCCCACAGAACAAACGCGCGGTTCGGTGCTGCATTGTGCTCAGAAAAGCACAGCTCCTGAACTTTGGACGAACGTTTAAATGCTAAACATTCGACCGTAGAGTTTGTTTACGGTTTATACCTCCTATCAGACTTAAGAATATTTAGAATTGTGGTTCAAAACAAAAGACATGTTGAACTTATGACGAGGGCATAACACTTAAGAACATTTAGAACCTAGGATGGCAAGTAAAAGTTGTAATATGATGAGAACTTTTAGAATTTAGGGTGAAGAAATGTATTCGTGAAAAGATAGGAATTATTTTACCTTAAGTTAAGAACTTTAGAATTTAAGAAGGGAACATTGGTACTTTTAGTAGGCTACCATTATTTAATGTTTAGTCCTTCATGATTTAGAACCAGAACTTTTAGAACTTCCATTACATTTGAACTTAGTACAAGAATAGGCTATTGACTTTTTTAGAATTCCAAATTAGATGTTGGAACTTTTAGAACTTTGGATGACATTAAAACTCCTTTAAAACCCTATTTTACATCTTGTCAAATGGATTGTGTGCTTGAAATACTCAAACTTTGTGTTTACGTCTTGTAACATTCTAGTTGTTTCAAGTGAGTATCTGGCACCCCTTGTTTGTTGACATTGCATTGGTACATGCTTGTGATTTGTGTTTGTATTAGTGTAAGATTCACATTGTTAATATTTGGCATGGGAAATTCCCTTTTCTTTTCACTCATGTTCACTTTTCTCTCTTGCAGAAACTTTGACTCTTTGAGCAAGGAAAATATTTACGAAAACAATAAACGGGTAAGATATTGTTCACTTTATAAAATTATCTTATCAACTTTTATCACTTTTTTTCAGTAATTAATTTCCATTACCACAATATTTTACATTTATGGCATTTATCCAACAAATTCAATTCATTTACATTACCTATTTTTATTTTCTGATATCAAATCCATCTCCACAATAGTTAAAATGACACTTTTCCTCATATGACTAACAGCCCTTCAAAGTGATCATCAGCAATATAAAAAAGCAGATTAACATTTGGTACCATTCGCTCTTAAAAATAAGGGTTCCAAAAGGGGTTTTTGCAGCAATGCCATAGAAGAATCATTTTTGATTTCCCAAAGAACCTTTCAGTGAACAGTTCTTAAAGGGATAGTTCACCCAAAAAAAATAAAATTGTCATCATTTACTCACCCTCAAGTTGTTCCAAACCTGTATGAATTTCTTTTTCTTCTGCTGAACACAAAAGAAGATATTTTGAAGAATATGGGAAACCAAACAGTTTATGGATCCCATTGACTTCCATATTATGGAAATAAATACTATATACTAAGTCAATGGGGTCCATCAACTGTTTGGTTACCGACTTTCTTCAAAGTATCATCTTTTTTGTTCAACAGAAGAAATACATTTATAGAGTTTGGAACAAATTAAGGGTGAGTTAATGATGATAGAATTTACATTTTTGGGTAAACTATTTAAAAGAACCCTTTTCCACAATCAAGAACCTTTATGAAAAAAGTTCATGTTCATGGAACAATCAATGCCAATAAAGAACCTTTGTGTTTTTTTTAAGAGTGTTTGTAGGGTTCTTGGATTGCCTATACAGTTCTTCCAGGTTAAAAAAAGTAATTGATGCATTATAAGTTCTTCAGATCAGTATGTTGGTTTAGGCTTCTTTAAAGCATTCCCACAAACATGTTTTGTGAAATATAAAAATGCTTTGGTTCTTAATGAGAGCAGATCAACAACTTTAATTTTTTTGGGAAATGTCTTCATTCCAAGTAGATCACAACCCCATCATTTTAACAGTTAGTATGTTTCCTAGACCTCTCATGGAGCTCTTTGACCCATATGTGGTTGACCAGGGCTAAGATGTGACAGATTGGATGCATACTCCAGGCTTATTCTTGTGGTTTCTTCTATTTTTGAGGCAGCTGAATCACATGTTGTGCTGTTGTAGACCATTATAAATCATCATCTGCACACACTTGCCTTCCTGTTTCCATTGAAAAAGGAATGCTGTCCAGAATTGTTGTGAAAGAGAGAATACAATAATGAAAGTACTGCAAAAGAAAAGCTAATGAATAGCTTTGTGTGCATGTAAGGAAGACATTCTCTTTCCAAGCAGAACACGTGTGAGAGACAGAGAAAGTGAAAGTGTTAAGATAAGGTAATGCATGGTTTACAGGGTGGAGATTAAGTATAAGGTAAACAGAAACCTGGCACAGACTAAGAGTTCAACGTTTTGTGTCACACATAATGGCGCAAAAGTAATGAAATGTTTTGTCCCCTCTCATTGCTGTGCTGTTTTATAAATAAGGAAAATGTGTATAAAATACACTGTGTACAAAATAAGTCTTAACATTCTCAGCTATTAGATCTGTATTGATTCTCAGTGTTTACATTTAGATTTGTGGTCTTTGAATCGCATTTCCTGCTCTGTGAGTTGTTGAATGAATCTTTACAGAGAAATGCCTCCCCTTATTCCTCTCCATCTAGATTTTTTTCTCCTTTTTTTTTCTCTCCTTGGTCATGTCTGCTCTTGTTTATTTTTGATCTAAGTTTTGTTTTTTTCCCCCCAAAGAAATCCAGGCCAAGTTCACATTTTTGTGTGTGCATAATGGCATGGAGGAATTATAGTTCTTCCTCTGGATGGAAAATCACCACAAATTACCCACTTCTTCCCAACGTTTCATCATTGTGAAATATACATAATATACACTCACCTAAAGGATTATTAGGAACACCTGTTCAATTTCTCAGTAATGCAATTATCTAATCAACCAATCACAGTGCAGTTGCTTCAATGCATAGGGTGTGGTCCTGGTCAAGACAATCTCCTGAACTCCAAACTGAATGTCAGAATGGGAAAGAAAGGTGAATTAAGCCATTTTTAGTGTGGCATGGTTGTTGGTGCCAGACTGCCGGTCTGAGTATTTCACAATCTGCTCAGTTACTGGGATTGTCACGCACAACCATTTCTAGGGTTTACAAAGAATGGTGTGAAAAGGGAAAAACATCCAGTATGCGGCAGTCCTGCGGGCGAAAATGCCTTGTTGATGCTAGAGGTCAGAGGAGAATGGGCCGACTGATTCAAGCTGATAGAAGAGCAACTTTGACTGAAATAACCACTCGTTACGACCGAGGTATGCAGCAAAGCATTTGTGAAGCCACAACACACACAACCTTGAGGCGGATGGGCTGCAACAGCAGAAGACCCCACCGGGTACCACTCATCTCCACTACAAATAGGAAAAAGAGGCTACAATTTGCAAGAGCTCACCAAAATTGGACAGTTGAAGACTGGAAAAATGTTGCCTGGTCTGATGAGTCTCGATTTCTGTTGAGACATTCAGACGGTAGAGTCAGAATTTGGCGTAAACAGAATGAGAACATGGATCCATCATGCCTTGTTACCACTGTGCAGGCTGGTGGTGGTGGTGTAATGGTGTGGGGGATGTTTTCTTGGCACACTTTAGGCCCCTTAGTGCCAATTGGGCATCGTTTAAATGCCACGGCCTACCTGAGCATTGTTTCTGACCATGTTCATCCCTTCATGGCCACCATGTACCCATCCTCTGATGGCTACTTCCAGCAGGATAATGCACCATGTCACAAAGCTCGAATCATTTCAAATTGGTTTCTTGAACATGACAATGAGTTCACTGGACTAAAATGGCCCCCACAGTCACCAGATCTCAACCCAATAGACTAGAGCATCTTTGGGATTTGGTGGAACGGGAGCTTCGTGCCCTGGATGTGCATCCCACAAATCTCCATCAACTGCAAGATGCTATCCTCTCAATATGTGCCAGCATTTCTAAAGAATGCTTTCAGCACCTTGTTGAATCAATGCCACGTAGAATTAAGGCAGTTCTGAAGGCGAAAGGGGGTCAAACACAGTATTAGTATGGTGTTCCTAATAATCCTTTAGGTGAGTGTATGTGTCAAAGTTGATCTGGTGACATTCGCACCGTTATAAATAGTATAACACTGATCAAACATTCCACAGAGTTCAACTTGTTCAAAACATCCTAAGTTGTAATAGCTAATGTCAATCAATATGTTCTGTGTAAGAGCTGATAAAAGCAGAAATATAGTTGTTTAATTTGTAAAAAATAAAATTATTTAATTGTAATATTATTGTCTAGTTCCCCTTGTATATTCTATAAGTTAATATTCATCAACACATTGCATTTAATTATGTTTTTTCCCTTTTGCAGCCTGCAGATATCAAGATATGTTAAAATTTGGAATGATTTTTGCACAGGTCTAGCACTTGATAATAGGGGTATATTAATTTATAAACACTTTCAATAGGAAATCCTCTAATTGTTCTGCTACACATATGTTCCAGCAATAATGTCCACACACACACACACACACACACTGAGACATCCTTAGTGCTGAGAGTTAAATCCCACTTGTGAAAAGCTTACTCCTCACATTATTTAATTTTTTTTACCAGGCTTTCGAGGTGGCAGAGAATGAGTTGGGTATACCTGCCCTGCTGGATGCCGAAGACATGGTGGCTCTAAAAGTGCCTGATCGACTCAGCATTCTGACCTATGTGTCCCAGTACTACAACTATTTCCATGGACGTTCTCCCAGTAAGAAATGCGTGCGCACAATGAACATTATTTTTCACATATTTTATATTGTTGCGGCACCTCTCTTCCCAGTCTGTCAGTAACACTCTGTGATGAGATTCTCAAAAGCATTGTGAGCTAAGTTGATCGTTGAGAGCTTTGGTGGAAATGGTTCTACAATCTACTTAGGCTTATGATGTTTTGTGGAATCGCAGTCCAGTTTAGTTCCTGTCTTTATGAAGCCCCTAATTCCAAAAAGCGCAATGTGCTCTGATTGGTCAGCTGGAGCAGTGTGTTGTTAGCCTGACTTCGTCATACTCATATTCTAGTCAGAATGTGAGTCTGATACTGCTTCATAGGGCTTTGATTATGAGGCGTGTCTTAACCGAACCAGGAAAAAAAAAAACCTCTGCACTCAATTGGATAGACCTACAACCAATGAGAGCAACGCAGTAAGTCAACTACTTTGCAAAGCACAACTGTTGTCAACTACAGAACTCAAATGCACGCACGCTGGAAGAAGTAAAATAACGAGTGTTGCTTCTTTTACTTGGCCCTCTATGAGTGCGACCAAAGGAGAAACCACAACGACCACAGGGTTTTCATTGCGTCCCATCTTCTTAGTTACCATCGAAGCCAGCTGATAAATTAAACTTTTGCCGAATCCCATAGGAAGGACGGCGAACACATCTTTCCGATCGACAAATGCCTTGATTGCAGTTCTATGTTCGTCTTTTAAAATGAATGCGCTGTCGATTTCTTTTACAACGGACGCGATAGCGGAATCTCTACATCTCAGTTATCCAGCGGCAGTCAACTCTGAGGGAAACCAGTTCAACCCAAGCGCTCTTTGATAACGTGATGATTACGTCCCTGCAGATCATCTGTCCATCATCGTATAAAGCCCGCCCTGGCAATTTGATTGGCCCGACGATTTCTGAACCGATCATAATTACTCCTCAATGGAGCGAGTCCAGACCGAACTTCCCGATCAAAAAATGTTGTGGGCGGGGTTCAGGCTGGCATCCAGGCTAGTGTGTTGTGATTGGTTAAAAAAAAAAAAAAAAATAACCGCGAGTTTAAACATGCTATGAACGCAACTCAACCAGGAAAACTTAAGACTACAATCAAGGCGTTTCAGGGAGTTCAGAAACAGTGCAATCTTATATAGAGAATAACTCTCTGGAGTGACTCTGAGCTTTGTAGCTTTGCAGACCTTTTTTTTAATGCTCAAACAGCAACATTGCACCCTAAAGCATAATAGGCACAAAAAAGCACAATAGGTCCTTGATCTTTAAAAAACTTGTTTAGCATGTGGTCATTTTTTTAGCATTGCTAAAACATTTCACTCTTTGGATGTGCAGTTGGAGGTATGGCTGGGATTAAAAGACCAGCCGAAGAGTCTAATGAAGCGCCATCTGAGAAGAAGAACCAACCCGTCACAGCTAAAGTTTTCGCTTCACCTAAACCAGCCACAGAAAATAAGACGCCGAAACCGGTGAACGAAAATAAGGTACAATATGTCATTTATCTGAGATTTGTCACCTCATATAGGAACTTTAAATTGTTTGACAGTTCTGTATTTTTGGTCAAGTGTGTGTGTGTAATGAGGGCACATGAGCAATTTAACCCTGCCGTTGTCTTTTATTACTGAGATGTTACTTTATTTTGAGATGACTAATGTAAATATTGTTTTGCACATAATTATTGATTATTTGATTAACTGATAAAACCCCTATTGAGGTGTTTGCACAGTGACTAATTGATCTTTTTTTGTCATTTCCAGAGAGAAGTTTTGGCTGAACGTGCAAATAAATCATCAGGATCTCTGAGCAGCAGCTGTACTGTTTGTAACCAACATGTTCACCTTGTGCAGCGCCACCTAGTAGATGGGAAACTGTACCACAGGAACTGCTTTAAGTAAGTCACTTCTGTTTTTTTGCAAATGGATCCACTCCACATGACTAGTGAATCATGTTTGAATTGTCATCGCAATCATTTAATGTGTGCAATGTTATGTGGGGAGTGTTTTTTGAAATAGCTGCTTTTCAATTTTGCTTTAATTGTTCTGTTCTTCAACTATCATAGTTCTTTTTTTTGTCACCTGATCATTTAGTATGCATGACTAAAAGGGAGTGAAGATAAATATCTGTTGGACTAATATACTATAAATTAATCATTCACCTCCTGATGTCTTGGAAAGCATTTACAATTGTTTTGTTTTTTCATGATCAGATAGCTATCCAATGCATACCTTTTAGACCTTTTTTTTCAACAATACAATATTTATTATAAAGGACATTTAAAAACAACTGAGGTTGACAGAATTGCTGTACAATAAAAGCATACAAACCAAACAAACATAAGATGTACACAAATAGGCAGAGAAGATTCAAGGAAGGTTAAAAGCTGATGAAAATAGGTGAGTTTTAAGTCGAGTTTTAAAAATCGAAATAGAAGGGGCAGTTCTAATATGAATCGGGAGACTGTTCCGGAGTTTGGGACTGGCAATTGCAAATGCACGCTTTCCTCTGTGCTTAAGTCTGGATTGGTTTTTCCTAAGTGTTTTGTTTATTTCAACCTTTCTTTTCAACAGATGCAGAGAGTGTTCCACTATTCTTCTCTCTGGCACCTATAAGCCTGGAAAAGAACCTGGCACTTTCATCTGCAAGACGCACACAAGCACAGAGAAGCCTCTAACAGCGCCAACCACACACATCACAGTGCCTCCACCGAAGACGCAGTCTACCTTTATAACCAAGACTGTCCAGAATGCATCAGGTGGAGGTACTGGAAAATCTGGTTTAACACCTAACGCATCTAAACCGGATTGGCTGGCCAATAAAAGTGACCGTACACCCACCCGTGGGTTAGTTGTCACACCTACTCCAGCAGTTCAGCTCAAGCCAGTGCCAAAACCAACTCCAACACCAGAGACAACAACTGTGAAAACCTCTTTTAACCCCAAAACACCCTCGGAGCCTCTTAAAGCTGTAAGCAACAGTGTACAGACGAACCAAGAAGCCAGAAAGAGGTGAATGTCTTTCGGTTCGGTATTTCGACAATTCATTTGTGATATATATGTTATATTTGGGATAAAAGATAGTTTGTGACCAATACTGACTAATAGTGTAAGTGTGTTTCTCTTGCATTTCGGATCAGTGTTGTTAATGTAAAATTAAACTATTAAAAATTAGTTTTCGGTTTGAAATAAAGCTGAAATAAATGTATAAATATTAGATGAAAAACTTAAATGAAAATATAAATGTTGCCTTTTAGGTTTAAGTTAAAGTACCAAAATGCCTTATTAAAACTGAAATAAAAATAAATGAAAGCTATATGGAATTAAAAAAAAGATAAAATGGATAAAAATCACTAAAGGCATAAGAAAATTACTATAATTTTAGCCAAACTGAAAATATAGTTCTATAAAAGTACTATAATAGTGCTAAATTTCAATTTCATCAGTTTTGTTAAGAATTTATTGTATATCAGATTGTTGGATTGTATTTCAAAGATTGTATTTAGGGATGCATGATATCTCAGTATCATGTCTGCTAATATTACAACTTTAAATTTATTAGTATCAATCAGAACTAGTCATACAGTATATTGGATATTTAATTGTGCATGCTCTTTTCCCCAATTTTTACATTTTAGATTTCCCTTTACTGTCATCTACCGTTGTGATGCCTAAACTCACTTAAGCATTTAAGGGCCGTTTAAATGACACCGTTTTCAACTATAAACGTAAAACGCTTCATGCGATCTGGCTGTTCATTTACATGACAATGGAGATTTGGAGCCTGAAAATGCGAACTTTCAAAAACGAGTTTCAAAGAGCAAGTTTTTGAAAATGATACCGTTATCGTCTCCGTGTAAACTACAAAAACGTGATCTTGTTTAAATGGTGATGTCATGCACATGCGTATTGCGTGTTCAGTCTATAAAGCGTGTAGTGTTTCTTCACAATGTGACATCGCCAACTATTGGCCTGGCATGAATAACACAGCATTTTTAGTCATTTTCATGGATCCATGTGAATGTGGATCGTTTTGACAGCGTTGTCTTCTGTACGCTAAACGTTTCAAAACCTCGAAGGGGAATGTCATGCATTGACCCTTAAGCCTATTGATTTTAGTTTTTTGCGTTTTTTATTATTTATTTTTTAGACAATTTTATTTTAATGCTGCCAATTTATTGGTTATCGACCATAACTTGACAATGTTCAGCTTATTGTACTGACCAGAACATTAATATTTTTTTCCTTTTCTTTGTTAGATTCTTTGAGCCTAGCAGTACTGTGCCTGAAAGTAAGAGCACCCCATCATACACCTCAACTACACCTGTGAGTACAGTAAGTGTTACTCCTACAACAGTGAGTACAGTAAGTGTTACTCCTACAACAGAGAGTACAACGCCTAGAGTCACTGCAGGAGCTGGAGCAGGTAAAAAAAGAGTCCTGCTACGGGTGGGAGACTGGGCAAAAACACAGGACACAGAAAAAGAGAAGGAGAATGAAAAGGAGAAAGCCAAGGTTGTGATCGGAAAGATGGTGACGGTGGGAAAAAATAATAACAGCTTGTCTCCGAGTCCAGCTGGGCTGAAAGCAAGCAGCAGGTGAGCTACATTCACCTATATAAAGCACATTACATACTTGGCCTTTATTTGATCAAATATTTTCATAGGGTGGAAGTATACATGGGTCATAAAACAGAATTTTAGCCTCTATGTACTCAAGCCTGTTGAGTATTGTTTAAATCCATCTTGAAGTGTTTGTTGACGTGTTAGTGTAGGCACATCCATTAACACGTTCTCGTCACACTTTGGTTTCCATAGTAATGTTTCCCCTGTGGAATCGGGTGCTAAAGGCCCCTTTGGTAGGGTGCGTCTCAAAGCACTGGATACCGATGTGAAACCTGCTGCCCCCGCTGCTACTGCACCATCCTGGATCAAAGATAATAAAACCTTATCCAGGCCTGTGAGCACGCTGGCGTCCGAGAGCAAGGGTGAGGAAGACTAACTCACCTATACAACTGTCACTTCATGCATTGATCATTTGCATAGCTTGGTCTTATTGGTCCTCACTTTACAGTGACTTTAAAATAGGATTTTTTTCAAAATCAGGTTTTTGATCATCACATTTCTGTCAAACAAATAGTCCCTGAAATAAGGAGGAAAAGCACCCCCTCTGTGTTAATTTATTTATTTATTATGGTTTTATTAAATATTTTATTGTAATAATATAAAATGGAAATATCATGTCACGTTTCCATTTCAGGTTTATAAGATTTTGAGGTATAAAATAAACTATTGTTAAAGTTCTTTTTACACCTTTAAAAAGTGAAAGAGCATGTATTTTAAAAATGAGCAAAAGAAAGTTATAGTTATTATACTTGTGTAATGTGATTTATCCAGGCAGGATATGTTCCTACATCAGCTTCCATGTTGGAATTCCTTCCTTCTTAGAATAACATTCTAATCAATCAAAGTGACAGTGTAGCCATTTATAGATTTACTAAAGGTTTCTTTTTCAAATAAACTGTCTATTCATCAAAAAATGCATATCTTGGTTTCCACAAGATATTAAGCAGCTCAACTGTTTTTAACATTGATGATGAATAATAAGAAATGTTTCTTGAGCAGCAAATCAGCATATTAGAATGATTTCTGAAGGATCATGTGACACTGAAGACTGGAGGAATGATGCTGAAAATTCAAATGCATAAAAATGGAAACAAATTAGAGAATATATTTGTAATAGACTTTGTGTAACATTATAAATGTCTTTACTGTCAATTTTGATCAATTAAATCCTTTCTCTAATAAAAGTATTAATTTCTTCTTTTTTTTTTAAAAAAAAGTGTTGTTTGCCAAAAATCTGATTTGATTACCTGATGCGAATGTTAATCTAAGACCAACAAGGAAGCTGATGTAGGAACATATCCTGCCTGGATAAATCACAGCTGTAGCTTTCTTTTTCCATTTTTAAAATATCTGACCAGTGACCTTTTGAAGGTGTAAAAAAGAAAATGTAAACTTTACAAATCCTTCATTTCAGACAATGATACAGCTCCATCTGGCTGGAGGTCCATGCTCAAGCCTGTGAAGTAAGTTTGCTCATTTCTGTCGTCTCTCCAAATGAAACCAGCTTCTGACCTTTTTACTAATACTGTCTTGTTCTTTAGTGTGGAATGAATTTATGAATCATTTTGTCATGTTCTTTCTCAGTAAAATCATTTATTATCTTCTCTATATGATTTCCCTAACCAAATCATCTTGCTCTTTATTGATTAACCGCTTCGTTCTCCAGAAGGTCTGTCCCTCCCACTTCTTCACAATCTATTGTGATTGGTTTTCTTCATGGGCATGTAAAACTGCTGCGCCCAGTAAGACCAGCAGTGGGTCGTATCTGAAAGTTCCCAGAGCGATAGAGCTCAGTGCACATGCACTTCCCCCTTGAAGATCTTTCACCTGTAAATACCCCCTTTAAATTCCTGCCCCAAACTTTCACCCGTCAGAGGTGAGAGAAGCGATGCTAAACATTTAGTGGCTGAGAAACACAGCAGAAAAGTTTAATATCTTTCTCGTGTTTCCTGTTTTTTTTTTTTTTTTAGAACTCCTCCCAGTAATATAGAAAGCACCGGCTCACCCTCCAAGAGGCCAGAAGTAGCAGCGGCTTCTCCACGGACATCAGGTCTGGGAATCACCACAGCATCCATTCCTGCTCCCTCTACCACCAGCATCTCCATCAGCATCAGCTCCCCAAAAGGGCCCTCACCTAGCCCGATGAACAACAGCCCTAAAGCTAGTGGTAAGGCCTTAGGAAACGTTGAGGAAATGGAATATTTCTTTATTCAAGAGGTCACATAAGAACGAGTACTTGCTCTGGCAAAAATGTTCTGGCAAAGATTTACCAGTCAAAAGTTTGAAAACAAAAGAAAATCGATCTATCCATAGCAAAGCAATGAATGTATGCATAAATACAACGATCGAGATAAAATACTTTCTCTGAAAACCAGTGTTTTCCCTATTATTTTTTATATACTATTCTAGAATTTAATATTTGGAATTAGCCCTTTTTATGTTTTCATTTGAAAGTTTAGTAAGTAATCTTGTTATGGGATTTTGTCATTGTCATTTATTTTCCTTTTAATTTTTTGTGTTTTAGTCATTTTAGTACTTTTTTTAATCTTTATTACAATCACACATTAACAATAACACTACTGAAAACTAGTACAATTTTGCTTATCAGGTAAATATATATTGTGAAACATGATCAAGATACTGATTTAAGGATATTTTTGCAGTGTATGGAAACCATATATTTACATATCAGGATATACACATAGTCCTTCAAAGTTATTTAAAAGAATATCAACTTAAATGCATTTTTTGTCCAAAATCCAAGGTAATACCATCATACTTTTTTGTAAGGATGCCAGATACAGCCAAACTTGCTCTAAAATGTTAACATTAATATTAATTGCATTAACATGAATAGGGGAGCACTGCATGCAGTACTTTTTTTTTTTTTTTACTGGTTTCTCTGTTCATCCGTCTGTTGTTTCTCTCTCTGTCTGTCTTCCAGACTCCAGCAGTGGCAGCAGTGTTTCTCCGGTTAATCCCTCAGGGACTGAAACTCACAAATCACACAAGGTGTGTGTCAAAACAATAATTACATGTGTTATCTGGTCCTGTGCATTTCTGTCTGCACTGATGTGAGTGAGTGTTGAGGGATTATTTTGTCAAGGGGCCTATTTAGACTGTTTTGGAGAGTCAAAGGGACCCTTTGGGGCACAGTTATCTTTGAATAGGCTACTACAATCAAAATAGAGTGACTTCATAGTAAACCCAGGCTTTTGAAGCATCTATTCAGTTCCTCAGATAGACTATACAGATCCTTAGTGGTTTATTTATTCCTTTCAATGCTTTTTTTTAGAGTAATATGTGCAAAAGTTCCCATTTGACATATTGTGTGTCTGTTTGCTTTAGCCGGGTTACATTCCGAAAGAAGACATTCAGAAAGAGCTGAAAGAAATTGAGATGAATATGAACGAGTTGCAGAAAAGAGGAGTAGACCTGGAAAAACAACTCAGACAGAGTGATGAGGGTCTGTACAAAAATACACACACTCAAAACGGCTCACCTTTTACAGTTGATCAAATAAAATGATGGGATACATAGACTCGCATGACAAACAAAGAATTATTGGTAACACTTCACAATAAGGTTCATTAGTTAACTACATTAGTTAACATTAACTAAGAATAAACAATACTACTTCAGCATTTGTTAATCTTTGTTAATGTTAATTTCAACATTTACTAATACTTTATTAAAATCTTGTTAACATTAGTTAATGCACTGTGAACTAACATGAACAAACAATGAACAGCTGTATTTGTATTAACTAACTTTAACAAAGATTAACAAAAACAGTAACAAATGTATTGCTCATGGTTAGTTCATGTTAGTTAATACATTAACTAATGTTTAATAAATTAACCTTATTGTAAACTGTTACTGAATTATTTTACTGACAAAAGGCTAGATCCACTTCTCAGTATAATAATTCTTCCTGTGTCACATTATTTTGCAAAGTAAAGATGCATATTATGAATTAAGTTTACAAACTTTTCACATTCTATATAAAAAAAAATATATATATAATATATATATATATATATTAGGGCTTTCAAATGATTAATCGTGATTAATCACATCCAAAATAAAAGTTTTTGTTTACATAATATATGTGGGTGCACTGTGTATAATTATTTTATATATATAAATACACACACATGCTTGTATATATTTAAGAAATATTTTCATGTATATACTGTATATAGATTTATATATAATTTATATTATATATAAATATAAATATTTTATATATAAATAATATTTTTTTCTTAAATATAGATGCATGTGTGTGTATTTATATATATATATATATATATATACAAAATAATTATACACAGTGCACCCACATATATTATGTAAACACAAACTTTTATTTTGGATGTGATTAATCGTGATTAATCATTTGACAGCCCTAATATATATATATATATATATATATATATATATGTGTGTGTATGTACTGTATATGTGTATGTATATATTAATTAGTTGGCATGAAATGGAAGTTGCGATCGTATTTTCTTCCCTGTTGTGACGTATACACCAGTGAAACGGCTTCTGTAGGGCGGGACTTAATTTTGTTTGAGAATTGATTAGATTATTTGTCATTTGCATACTTTTCACAGACTGTGGTGATGCATTTCCACAGTTATCAACATTGCGATTATAGTAAAGTTTTTCATATTTAAAAAAATTAAACACATTTGTAACGCTATATATTGTTATATTACCTTGTCGGTAAATGACAGAAAACAAATGACCACTGCTGCGAGGGTGTTAATACAACGACGGAGGGTGTGAAGGCAAATTTGACATTTTTCTCTCTTCTGACCAACGTAATCGATCTCTTTTTTTTCTCTCTCTCTCTTTTGGAAAGTTCTGGAAACTCTTATCAGATTTTTTCTTTTGCTATTGGAGCAAATGTAAAAAAAATATATATATATTTGCTGTCGTCTCCCGTTCGCCACTGTAGACGTTTACCCAACTATGACGACTACCGCTTCTGAGACCCCCGGAAATGTGAAAAGGGTCCATTGCTGTGATGTCATTTGAGTGACAGGTTGTCCCGCCCTCGCGTCAGTAAACGCATCATTAGAGAAGAGACGTCGTTGCAAGAGGGAGGGGAAGTTATTTTGATTGAAGATTGAGGGAAAATTAATTTTTAAAAACTGTGTACGGACAAATCATTTATAATAATACTGTAACTGCAATATTCAATGGTAATAAAAAAAGACTTGTCAATTTAGAATTTCATGGTGACTTAAAGGGATACTCCACTTTTTTGGGAAATAGGCTCATTTTACAACTCCCCCAGAGTTAAACTGTTGAGTTTTACCGTTTTTGAATCCATTCAGCCGATCTCCGGTTCTGGCGGTACCACTTTTAGCATAGCATAGCATACATCATTGGAGTGGACAAGACCATTAGCATTTCTAAAAAAAAAACTTCAAGACATATTGTGTGTCTCAAGAAACTTCACAAGAAACTTCACTGCCGTACCATGAGTGCAGCAGGCGTAATGATATGACGCAGCGCCTGAAAATAGGCCACCTTCCGTCAACACAACGGAACTATTTTCAGGCGCTGCGTCATATCATTACGCCTGCTGCACTCATGGTACGGCAGTGAAGTTTCTTGATTATTACGCAGGAATGAGAGTATAGTTCCTAGCCATATCAGCCTAGAAAATCGCAACTTTACATTTTCCGTCGGTCTTAGTGCACGATGTAACTACAGAAGAGTCAAGTTTTAAATAGGAAAAATATCGAAACTCTTTGGTCATTTTTTTTTTTAGAAATGCTAATGGTCTTGTCCACTCCAATGATGTATGCTAAGCTATGCTAAAAGTGGTACCGCCAGAACCGGAGATCGGCTGAATGGATTCAAAAACGGTAAAACTCAACAGTTTAACTCTGGGGGAGTTGTAAAATGAGCCTATTTCCCAAAAAAGTGGAGTATCCCTTTAAGTCCCTTAAACTCTTTTTTTTTTTTTTAATGCCTAAATGAAAGTGTTGATTCATCCTTACTGTGAACTAATGAATTACGAATAGATGATCAATGTTTTGGTGGTCTAAGCATTATTTAAACACGCTTAATAAAACATAACCATTCAGAGACTGATGTTGTCCTCTGGTGCTCCAGCAGGTGGAGACAAATATTACAAATGCAGATTCTCAGCTCTTTAACTTTGCTTGCATTTCTTTCTTTTTTTTCAGAAGGAGAAGAGGACACAGTAATGAATGACTTAATGGTGGACTGGTTTACCCTCATCAGAAACAAACAGGTCTACATGAGACGCGAATCCGAGCTTGTGTACATGTATGTGCAAACTGTTGAACGCTGATAGTGAATATCCTGTATTTCTGAATGCTCTGTTTATTAAACAGTTATTATCTGTGATTTGTGTTATAATAGTGCCAAGACGCAGGATCTAGAAGAAGAACAGCCCAGTGTTGAGGCCGAGCTCAGGAGACTGATGGACACACCAGGTTGGTACAACACTGGAAAAAAGTCTTAGCATTATACAAACAAAATATTAAACCAAGTGGATGATGTTATTGCATTCATACTTTTTGGGGTCACTGCATCTCAGGATGCTGATGAAGCTTTGTGTAGACTAGACTATTGTAGTCAACACAAACAACTAACTGCTTGATTTGGTCTTATTCAATAGGTCTACTTTGTTTAAAGGCTTAAGTGCTTCACATTCGAAGTAAAATCTAATCTAGCAATAAAATAATTTTTGTATCCTGTAGAGAAACTGAAGACCTACCACGAGCGTAAACGAGAGGAAGAGCTGATGGCCAAACTTGTGGAGATAGTTAATGACCGGAACGCCATATTAGAGGGGTTGGATGAAGACAGACTGAGGTGTGCAGGAAGAAACATATCATATCAGTCTATCTCATATATCATATCTATTTCATATCATATATATAAATCTCAAATATACACACATATATACAGTGTGTATATATATATATATATATATATATATATATATACAGACATACATATATCATATCATATATTGCTTAATCTTACCTAATCTTATTTTATTGCATAATGTCGCATAAATAAAGAAAATTAATTCTATTTTATTCAGTGGTATTAAAGTTATTTGGTATTTAATTTGGTTTGGATTGGAATGCTATTGGGTTTTTGGATATTTTTCCTACATAGATCATTGGTTACATCAGCAGAAGAGTTTAAAATGACTACTTTTTAAAAATTGTTTTATAAAATGCACAATATGGCCAGGTACACTTCATTAAAATAAGTAATTTGTTTGTTTGTTTGTATGTATTTAAATATTCTTTATATTTATCCAGAACACTATTGCATATCTAAACCCTTTACATAATGTGACATTTGTGGCTCTTTTTACACTTACATCCACAGGGAGGAAGAGGAGGATGAGGAGCTGAATAAGATGATGCAGAATCTTGGTACCGGTAAGTATTATTATGTAGCATCAAACCCTGAGAATAAAAAAGTTTTTCCCCATAGGCCTTTTGAAAAAGATGGAGCAAAATAAGCAAATATTTAACGTTTATCAATAAATAATATTTGAAGGACTTTAACATAAATTGCCACACATTTCCCCTACTTTACTTGTTCAATAGATTAGATTATATTTCCCTAGCTAGAAAAATGATTACTGTGCACCAGCTGGCTCCAATTTTAAAGAGGCAGAAATTTGCAGCCAACTCTATTTATTATAGTCCATTCTGTTAGATGATTCAAAATGAACATCCCTTCCTGTTTGCACATAATAAGAGGCTGGCAACAGAGAGGCAATTGTTTATTGTCACCATTTGTTCAATGATGGCACAGAGGATTATTATCGGTAATGTTTAGTGTCTGATTCTAGTCAACATAACAATATAAACGGATATATTTAGTTTGTACTTGTAAACCCTTTTAGTAAAGCTGACTGCACAAGAGATTTACTCAAGGGCAACATTCTCATTTAAAGGCATTGGTATCTGGTGTGTTAAATATGGAAAGCTTGGAAAGTTTTCTGATTAAAAAAACATGCATTCATTTCACAATATTGTTTGCACTTTTAACCCAGCATTTCAGTTTTTTTTAGCTTCTATCACTGATGCTAAAACTAAAGTTTTCTATTTGGAATAACTAGCACCTGTTCAACTCTCTGCCCACCAACTCAAATGCTATGAATCTTGGGAGTAATTACTCCGTGCATGTTTATATATTCCATATTTTGAAAGGCCAAACAGGAAAAGTAATGCTACCAATTTTGATTTAATGATCACTAATGGAAACCATAGGTATCTAGCTTTGGCTAATGATCTGCCTGCATTTTCAATGCTAAAACGAGTTATTATAAAATGTATAATTTACCAACCCAATTAAACCAATGCATAAATGTGGGCAAAAGTCATAACCATTTGCAATTCATGACATAAAAACGGTCTGAAAGCCCTGGAAGCTGTTACTGATGTTCTGTGGAACCAAATGAGACTGTGGTCACCATTAGTAAATGACCTCTTGAAATGAACTTTATGTACCTTGCAGTTAAGTATGGGTTGTGCTCTACCATTTGCAGATGTGAAGAAAGAAAAAGTCAAGAGAAAATCTTCCATATCCCGATGGTTTAGCATAAAAAAGTAAACGGGCGTCTGCTGATGACTGATCCTCATGGATGGTGTGTGTGTGTGTGTTTAGTCTCAGACAGAATGTTTCTGCTGCAGTTTGAGGTCAGATGACAAAATCTAAATTGCAGTTACACAGACTTTAACAAATGGTATTTTTGTGAAATCACATCATTATGTATTGTCACACTGGGTTTTTTCTCTCCACATACTTTTGCACATTTTTCATCTGTCTCCTCATCTCCTGTCTTTGTGGGTGTGATATGTTCATTTTGTTAGCAAACGTTTTGCACTTGAATCCTCTGAATAATGGAGATTGAATCTCTCATTCAGTGTTTCATTAGGGAATTAAACGGTGTTGAGAGAAAGGAAGTCTTTATGTCATATTGATTCATATTGGATCAAAGCTGAAATGGACAGGTATGGTCCGACTGTACTATATTCACACTCTGATGCTTTTTTTTTTTTTTTAAACGTATTTTTAGTTAAGAACATAATTTCTTTCCTATTTGAATCATTTTAATGGTGTTATCCTGACACACTTATACTGTCTCAGCAGCAGGGGGCAGACAGTGACTGATTTCAGCGATAAGACACTGTTTGCCATCTAATTTCTCAACACACTGTAAGAGCACTGATTTAAAGGGGTCTTTTAAGCAATTATTTAGGATTGTTCATTTTAAGAGTCTGTAATGTTGCTACGGAACTAGGATTATGCTTTTAACCACTGCCCAGGTAGCTTTTTATTGATTGTTATTTATTCTTCATTTCCATAAATATGAATTGTCTGCGTGATCTGCACTTTTTGTTTCCTTTCTCTTTTTGCTGTATTTGATCAATCAGTACATCTTACATGCTTATTACACATTTTAAGTATTTCGTTTTTAATTTAATTTAAGCCAAAAGGTCTCCGTTTTTTACCCAGTAACCAACATCTATTTCCAAACCTTTATACAGTGTACAATAAACTTTAATAATCAACTTGAATGCTTTTCTTTTTAGTCCATCTACTACAGTTATCAGATGTAATTATACAGTTTTTTCATGTTTTTCATTATTTTAGTTGCCTATTGCCTTCCATTAGCAAGACAAATTTGTTTGCATATTTTTAACCACGATTGCTGTGTAAGCATTACAAATTTCCATTTTAAATGACTGTGTACTGCCTGCAAAAAACAACCTTTACATTTAGGTGTGACCGTACCGAACTGCTAATCTGAGCCTCTGTAAATAAGTTAAAAGGCCACCTTTTGTCCTTTGCATATAATGGTAAAATGCCCTTTAATTGTAATATTTCAAAATACATACAATATTTTAATATATTAGTGTATGCGTATATAAATATACACACACATGTTATATTGAGTTTTTATACACTGCATGCAAAATAAAATTTTTAACTGATTTCTATTTTAATATATTTGTTATATGCTGATTTGCTGCTCAAGAAACATTTCTTATTTTTATCAATGTTGAGCACAGTTGTGCTGCTTAATATTGTTGTGTAAATTGTGATGCATGATAAATATTTTCAGTATTCTTTGATAAATAGAAGTTAAAAAGAAAAAAAAAGATTTTTTTTGTGAAAAGGTAAATGACTTCACTCTCACTTATGATCGAATTTTAATCACTGCCCTTGCTGTATAAAAGTATTAATTTCTTTAAATTTTATATATATATATAATGACACCAAACTTTTGAACAGTAGTGTATGTTGACACTGTAAAAAAAGACATAGCTGTTGAACTCCATGTCTCCTCCTGTATGGAAGATCCAGAATAGAGTGTCACGTATGCTTTTCAAGTGAGAGTAAATGCTCTTGGAAAACACCTACCAGTGCAGAATCCCATAATAAACTGATGATTGGTCTTATTTTGGGGAATCCCTATGAAACGGACTTTGTACACTTTGTGTCTGTGTACACATGGACTTACCTGACCAAGATTCATCTCAATAATGTATGTTAGCATTTGTCTCTCAGCATGTCTGTGTGCTTCTAATGCACACAAATTTATTCCGGATCTCTCTCTGTTTGGCTTTGTCGTTCAATGAAGAAATCTGCTGCGACACAGATTATAGAGCATGTGAGACCACAAGAATGGGAATGCTAACATATGCTAATGTATGTGTTGATGCTCTGTCAGCGCTGATATGGCGAGTGGATTACCTGTGTTTCCTCCCATCTGATCCACTGAAAGCACCAACAAGCGAGGGCACCCCATTGAGCTGTACATGTGGCACTGCTTTTGATATGCATTTATGCTAAGAGTGTTTGTTTGGTGCTGCTTGAATTGAGTGATGAATATAGGTTTGTGATCTTGTTTAGTTTGCCTCAATTATTTCACTGTTAAAAATGAGAATTCGGCTAAAAATTACAAACATATTCAGTTCCTCCGTGGAACACAAAAAGAGGCATTTAACAATGCTCATGTTGCTGTTTTCGTAACCTAGAATGATTAGGGGGGGGGAAAAACATGCATACTTACATTTTTGCACTTACATTAAATTCACTGCAGTTTCCAGCTGAAACGAACACTAGGGGCTGCACAAATCACACAAATTGATTACAGTGGCAAACTATTGATTGTGTTTTGACCTAAAAACACTTTTACCATAGTGCATGATTTGATTGTAAACCAATAGGCCTACATGTTGACTTGTTGCTTCCATCAAATGCGTTTTTATTTCACGTTTTCTTTTGTTAACAGTGTATTGTTTAGGGTCGGGTGTAGTGTAGGTTCTATTTTCAAACACGATAGAGCCTTAACCTTTTAGCGCTACTCACCACCAGACATTGCTTTTCCGAACTGCCACATACGTACAGTAGCCTACAACAACCAGCATATTAAAACGTTGCCAGATCTGTTTCGGATAAAACAAATTCGTTTTTTTTGTGCCACTTTGAAAGTGAAACGAGATAAAAGCAACATCAGTGTATTGCGTTACAATATTGCATCACTCCCTAAAAAAAGTAACTAATTGTTTTACTTAGTTACTTTTTATGGAAAGTATTGCGTTACTTTGTTTTATTTTTTTTCACCTGAGTTGGGCTTGCTTGTTTTTTTTAAGAACAGTAAAAATTTTATTTTTGCCAAATGTAAAGACACTTTCACACCCAAAGTGAAATGAATAAGCCTCTGATGGAAATGCAAATTCACTCCTGTACAGTAGAGGGCGCAGCTCAAGCATGCTGCCATTCTGGATTACAGAAGAATAGGACGCACATTTAGAACTACAATAACCATCATGTTTACACAGCGCACACAACGCCTCTTTACTTCCGATTTCACTCAACATGGGGACAGGAGAGCTGTCAATCAATGCATAGGAAAACAAAGTAACTTGTTACTTATTTCAAAAAGTAATAGTTATTTTGTTGTAAATTTAAAAGCAATGCATCACTTTACAAGTTACCGTAGCCTACTTGGGGAAAAAAGTAATCTGATTACATAACTCATTTTACTTGTAATGCGTTACCCTCAACTCCCTCAGCATGTCATTTTGCATAAATGTTGCTACAGGTGCGTTTTTCCAATGAGTGAATGTGAATGATCACTTGCAAGTTCCAAAAAATCTTCAATTTTTGAGCTTTGAGTGTGGAAGATTTTTAATTTATAACTATGTATATAGCCTAATATTAATATAAGCAATACAAGTCATACCACATTTGTCACTTTTATACTGTGTACTGGTGCTTGAAAGTCCTTGGAAAAAGAAAATTGTAATTTGTGAGAGAAATTAGTGTAAGATAAAACAATTTATTAAAGGTTGCGAGATTGTGTTATGTTGGAGGTTATTTTTGTGAAAGACATAGTAGGGAATTTCTCTGCAGGTGCTTAATTTCACAACAGCTTATGCATGTGTATAATTGTTTTCTTTCAGTGGGTCCACTGTGCTGAGTAGTGTAATTTATTGTCATAAATGGTCTGGGTTAAATGAATTTAAGCACGCACACACACAAGGCAGAATATAAGCCCCTCATTGTGTGCGAGGAGATTTCTGGGAAAGACATTAGAGATGGAAAAGCTATACACTGATCTGGAGAGATAGTATTGCCTGCATGTGCACAGTTCTACACACAGCACACACAAGTATTTGAGCCAAGTTTGAACCCAAAACTATCAATTACACAAATACACATGTTGTATTTGATGGCTCAATAAAACCGTAAACACCCATGAAGCGTCATAAGCATACTTTAGAGAAAGTTTCTTATTGCTGAATTGTTACAGACTCTGAATTTTGATTTAAAGCCATTACATTTAAATAAACATTAAACTTTCAATAAACACTTGTGACTTCACATACTAAATGAATGCAGAAACAAGCTGTTGTTTTGCTCATTAACTGTATGTTCTGGATATAATTATTATATTAAATACAATCATATAAATGTAATTCAGATTGTAATTATAAATATATTTAACCAGTAAAATCACTGTAAAACATGGCTTTCATAGTTTATTGGTTTTTGCCACATTGATAAAAATTCGCTACAAATGTAAACAAACAGAAATCGTTATTATCCATTTTATAAAGGTGTGTAGATTTATGTAAGTATGTTAAGTATGTAAAAAGTATCCGTTTTACGTCTTTAAAGTCTGTTGAGTAAAAGTCAGAGAAAAAGCAGTAAGATAAAATTGACCCCAATGTCTCTCCATACTGAAAAAAAAAAAATCATTACAGGAGACAAATCAAATACATTGTCTTGTATATTTTGATCAGATTACACCTTCTTTTGTTACCGTTATTGATTTTTTTTTTTATCATGATAGCTTATTGTTCTCTATGATGTTGTTTGTGGGCACACTTACTATTTGAATTCTTTCTCTGGTTTAATTTACCTCAGTGTAATTGCTTCTGACTTGGTAATCGGATTAGTTGGTTTGGCAAAAACATTAAAACAAATATACTTAGCATTCGGTGATGCTGATTTCATTATTGCATATTTAGTTGTGTATTGGACAGCCTAGGTGAGAGGACATTCTAATCTGTTTCGTGTCAGTTTGCAGAGAAATAATTGTGTGTCATGCTAGTGTGTTTTGAACAAATCATAAGCGAACAACTTTTCAGAGATGTGACTTAGCGGTTAGTGCAAAAGCTTTTATTTAATTCAATATATCCGCTGCATGTTTCAGAGTGAAGCGCGGCACTGCTATTAGAGAGCAGCTCAGCAGCGTCTCAGAGCGGCTCGGTTCTGCTGGTGTACATGAATTCCAATGCATTTGAGTTTGGGGTGCATTAATGTGCATTTGGGAACACGACATCCACCAACCATCTTCCCATAGGAAGTATAAATAAAAATTCTATTTAAAATTTTATTTTAAAAAAAAATAGAGGTTTACTATGCTTGTTTGAAGGCCTGCTTAATTCTGTTCTGAGTGGTTGCTTGAGTATTGCTTACCCAAGTAAGAAGAGTCCACCAAATCTCAGATCCCTACATGGCTCACTTTTCGTGAGTATATACGA